CGTCTCGAACCGCTCGCGGAGCTGGAGACGAACAGCGCGGATCCAAGGGATCAAAACATCAGGGGCCTCCCCCTTGCGGCGCAAGGGGAAGACCGTGGTGTAACGCGTGTAGTCGTCGACAACCAGCAGAATGTACCGCTCGTGGCCCTGTTCACGGACGCGAGCTGGGCCCCACATGTCCAGGTGGAGAGTATGCAGGGGAGCAGTCGTCGGGGGGAACGAGGAGGAGTGAGGAGCGGCGCGCTGCCGCCCCTCGACACAGGTAAGGCAAGGAGGGGCAGGCGAGGGCGGGAGGGGAGGCAGAGACCTGGGAAGACCAAAGATAAGGAGACGGGAGTGCATGCCACGGAGGGGTGAGCAAGGCGGTGGTGCAAGAGGAGCATCTGGTGCGACAGGGCGCGACACGAGCAGGGGGGCGCAAGCTGACCTGACGCAGACGCAGATGCAGCTACCTGAGGAGGCACCAGACGGAACCGCCGGACAAGGCAGAATAGTGGAGGAACGTGCAATGACTGGGCCCCCAGAGGGGTGAGCCAGAGAGACAGCAACAAGTGCAGAGAGCGGTGTGACTGTGGTACTGTCGCAAAAGAAATAGCGGGAAGCACCTGAGTCAAGCGTGAAGGTGTGCAAGGCCGCAGCAGACGCAGTACCAGAGAGAGCAGACTCACCAGCACCTAGAGCAGCAGACTCACTAGCACCTAGAGCAACAGCCTCTATACCTGGGTCTGGCAGCATACACAGGTAACAGTCACCCTCAGCACTAACAGCCAATGCATACATGGCAAAAAGGAGAGCATCATAATCAGGAGCAAAGATGTCTACACCCTGCCTAAGCAGCTCTGCCCAGCGGGGGAGCTTAGTGGCGTCTGGAAACTCTGTGCGGAAGGCATCGGTAAGACGAGAGAAGCAGCGGTACTGGGTGTGGAGCTTCCCGCATGTCTGACCAGTGTGGTCACCTGTGCGAATGACATACGGGCAGGGACCACTACCCCCAGCCGCCACACGCTGAGCAAACCACTCACGTAGCTCCTAGGCGAAAGCTGACGCTGCTGCTGCTGCCTCTGACCACCGCCAAGGCCTCCCCTCTGACTGGTACCACCTCGGCCGCCACCACTGCCACCGCCTTCACTCCCACTGCCGCCACCACTGCCGCCACCTACACCTCCACCCCCACCACCACTCCCTCCACCACCGCCGCCCTCTCCACCTCCTCCACCGCCCCCACCACCGCCTCCACCTCTGCCGCCCCCACCGCCCCTTCCTCCCCTGCCTCTGCCGCTGCAGCGCCTCCCACTAGGGGCAGACGCAGCTCCTACCTCCTCAGAACGAAGGTAGTCAACAGCTGCAGCAGAGGCGATTGAAAGGAGAAGGTGGGAGGGCGAACACCCCTCAAAGAAGGGAGTGCGAGGAGCGCCACGAGAAGCGCCTACGGCGACTATGCTAGTCTTAGCTGCAAGGAGGTGCTTCTCGAGCAGGTCGACGGTGAGGGTGGTGGGGTTAACGGCGAGAAGGAAGTCACTAACAGCGCTAAGAGGGTCAGGGAGGTGGGTGACTATGAAGTAGAGAGTGATGTACATGGGAGGAGGGTTCTTGGTGAGAAACTCGGCAGGAAGCGCAGCGCGGTTGCAAGTGTCACTAGTGCGAAGGTGAGTGACGAGGTCGGCTACTGTGGCAAAGGCGGACGGCTCTGGGAACAGGTAGGGCAGAAGAAGGCGGCCTAAGGCAGCAGTGGCCGGGGAGGAGTAACGAGCGACTACAGCATCGTACAGTGCCTTCGCAGTCTTGTGCTGTCCGAAGTGAGCGCGTTCGGCTAACGGCAGGTGGTTGCGAATGGCTAGGCGAGCAGTAGCGTCACGAGTCATCCACTGGGAGCGAGCTACACTGTCAGCTGTGTCGGCAGGGGCGACAGAGGCGCCAGAAGTGAGGTCAAACAGCGAAATTCTGTCCTTAGAGTCGCTCAGTAAGAATAGATGTAAGTCATCGAGCCAAGAGTCGAACTCTATCGGGCGGCCCTCCGAATCAAAGGTGAGGACGCTCAGGGTCGCCATAGCAGGCAGAGCAGGCTAGCGTGCTAGCAGCAGGGCAGCGTGCAGAAAGGGCAGGGCAGGGCAGTGGCCAGCAGGGCGGCGCACAGGAAGGGCAGCGCGGCTGCTAGCGGCGCAAGGGCAGGGCAGGGCGCGCGGCTGCTGGCGGCGCGATGGCAGGGCAGGGCGCACGGCAGCGGGCGGTGCGCAGGCAGGGCAGGGCGCTCAGCAACGGCGGCGCGCGGGCAGAGCAGGACGCGCAGCGGCGGGCGGCTTGCGGGCAAAGCAGAGCCGGCGGCGAGCGGCGCGCGGGCAGGGCAGGGCCGGCGGCGCGCGGCGCGTGGGCAGGGCCGGGCGCGCAGTGGCGGCGCGCGGGCAGGGCAGGGCGTGCGGCGCGGCGGCATGGCGCTGCGGCCGCAGCGAGCGGCGCGCAGGTAGGGCGCGTGGCGCGGCGGCGCGCGGTGCGGCGGCAAGCGGCGTGCAGGCAGGCCGCGCGGCGCGGCGGCGAGCAGCGTGCAGGCAGGCCGCGCGGCGCGGTGGCGAGCAGCGCGCGGGCAGGGCAGTGCGCACTGCAGCGGGCGGCGCGCGGGCTATAGCTGGAAGCAATCTGGGAAATCAGCGCCAGGCGCATTTGGCATTTGCATCGCCAATGAATTGGTGGGAATTGGCGGGAACATGTTTGTAACCGGTTCACGCGTCGCACGGTTGATTTTCGCTGCAATAAGAGAATGTACCCTTTATAGTACATGGCTAAATGAACATGCATGCTTTCGTCATAATCACTTCAATCATTTACATTCACACTGATCTGATCCTGTCTAAGTCCCCTTTGGGATCTTAACAGCAACCACGAACCAGCACCCAATCTCGCAATCCAGAGGAGGTCCCATCCTAGCTAGGCGTTAAGCTCATTTTGTCAAACTGTATGTTTGTCTTATCTCTAGGCTATAGTGGGTTAGCCTACAAGGGGTACAACACTTTAGGGTTAGGTACTTGTACTCATGCATGCTACCTAGTCCACCATTCCTGCCTGCTTATTCTAACACCTTTATTACTTGGCTTCTTTGTATGGTGAGTAGTTGTCTTCACATTCCTGGTATTGACGTTCTAGATATTGACTTCTGCACTCTTTTTATTGAAAGCTCATAGCTCACTCTTTTCATTGTACCGCGGGATACCTTTTTGAACTGCGATGTGCGCCGTTTCGTGGTGGCCCCACCCACAACGATCATCCTCCCCCGCAGTCATGATTATCTCGTGATGGACGACGGACAAAAGGCCAAGCCACCAACCTGGATTCCTTTTTCCCACAATCGGCTGGTTAGGTGAACCCGAGAAACTGCTCACTCCGTTGGTGCAGCTGGATGTGCACTGTCAAGCGGAACACCGACCATTTAGGCAGATGCCTCCAAGCCACTGGTGCAGCTTGCATGGCAAGCAAGCTCCCGTTGTACGTGTATTGTATTGCTTCGGGTTTTTAGTTACGGCAGAAGAGGTACTTCCGAACCTGCGCTTTCTAGGGACCTTCGTCTCTACCTGCACACAGTTTCCCAGGTTTCGCTGCCGAGACAGAAGACTTATCGCGCTAACACAGAACTCGTCTCCACATTAACCCACGTGTCATCATCTCGGAATCCATTTCTGTTGCTACTCAGGCAAACGGTGCACAGCACTATTTTGTTTTTTTTTTCGCACTGGACTAAATCCCTCTCCGCTGGCATGGTAATGAAGAGCATCAACCCTAAACACCTTGCGACTAAGTGTTTAGGGTTGATGCCAAAACTAAATCCCTCTTTGCTTGCATGTTAAATTTGGGGCATCAACCCTAAACACCTTGCGACTAGGTGTTTAGGGTTGATGCCCCAAAATTATATCCCACTTGGCGGGCATCAACCCTAAACGCCTTGTCGCGTGGTGTTTAGGGTTGATGCCCTTGAAAACTTGCCATCCGAGAGGGGTTTAGTTTTGTGCTTGCTGGCAGAATACTGTCGACGAAAACAGTGCTTGCGGGACGTGCGGAGAAGCCGAGTTCTGTGTTAGCACGATAACTCTTCCGTCTCAGAAGCGGATCTGCGGAAAGTGTGCGCAAGTTGAGATGAAAGTCCCTCGAAAGAAAGACAGCTACAGTAAGCCTTCCGTGAAAACTAAAAACCCTATTGCTTCCGTACTCTGTGGGAGATGGGTGATTTCTGCTTTCGAAATCCATTGGATGACTATTTTGCTCAATGGCCAATCGGATCTGCTGACCCATCTCTGTTGGAGCCTTGCTGTCAGACCTCTCATCTCGCCACCTCGTTTCGCACGGCTGCTCCCGCGGGATCGCCGAATTTTACCAAGCACGCTTGCCTTGTCTCATCCTCCTCTTGCCTTCCAATCCGAGTCAGCCTAGAGTTGGGCCAGTACTATTTTCTAGTTCTAATTGCTGTACAGTAGTTCTACATATGGCCGCGGAGCGAGGGAGGCGATTTGACTCGTGCAGCCCGTGTGTACCACGATGTGAGCACGCGGAAGCAACCACTCAGGTCGGGTTTCAGGATTCTGCCCACCGCCGATGAGGAGATAATGACTAAGTGGTTGAGATTCCGTCTCAGCCATCTTGCTGCGGGAGCCGCCGTGCTCGTTGCGTGGTCACTTGCCGAGTTCCGAACGCCATTGGGCCGGGGAACCGGGGAACCGCCCGGCCTCAGGCTTTTGAATGCTGGACAGATATATGGAGGAATTGTTGCTCTCAGAGAGCATGTTACTACGGAGTCGGCGGCCAGAGGGATTCACTAGCCAAAGCCCGTCAAGGTTGCAGATTCCGCGCAATCACTACTAGTAGTAGTAGAAACCGGACTAAGGAGTAGAAGTTGTGCTACGAGCATTGCGATGTTTCTGTCGACTTTTGACAAACAAAACCTCAGCCAGATTGAATCTCACCAGCCGTCTGCCCTCTTCCTCGCCCAATCCGGCTTTCGCGGCTCTTGTTTGATCGCCATGGCGAATCGACTCGCGGCGTCCCTGAAGTTTCGGCGGACGGCGCAGCATGTGATGGAGGGCGTCCTCCCGCGCGCCAACCTAGGCGGAACTTCTGATGGCGCCACCCCGGCAGGAGCAAGAAGCGTGAGTGCAGAGCAGGCGGCGGCAGCACCACGGACGATCCTGGAGCGTGGGGAGCAGCGTGAAGGTACAAGAAAGCATCAGCATCGACAGCATGAGGAGCATGGAACGGCCCGTCGCCCTTCCCATACCTCCCCCGTCGGCCCCTATCTCACCCGCCGCTTTTCTCGCTCAGACTCCCCCACTCTCCCCGACCACTCATCCGCCCCTGTTCTCTCCGCCAATTCCTCTCTTTCGTTGGCCACTTCCCCTGCCTCCGCCACCCTTCCACCTGCCGCCTCTGCTTCAGAACCTTCCTCGTGCACCACGTCTCCTTCGCACTCCCATGACTACCCGGCCCTTCACATCCGCTCCGCCCGCCCGTCACCACCAACCGGTGCGCCGGCCACGCTTGTGCTCCTCCCCCGATTCAGCGCTCCTACCCAGCGCCCAACTTCAACACACAGCCGTGGCACAACAAGGCCAGGCGTCAGCCCTGCATCCAGCCTCAGAACGAGCCAATCTTGCCCAGATCATCTGAGCTCTGCCGAACAAAATTGCGAGGTCCGGCCGGGCCTAACCCCGAAACGCTCCTGCCTGAGTCAAGGCCGAACCTGCCGCAGCCAGATGCCAGGAGGTACGAGCCCAGAGCCAGATGCTTCAAGTCCGATGCAAGCTGCGGGTCCGAAGCTGGTTCGGCGTGTGTCGTTCAACAGCATTGTGCGTGTGCGGCGGTTCATCGAGCTTCCTCCTGATGCTGACAGCTGCCGCAGCGACGATGGTGGGAGTTGTGCCAACGGCATCAGCCAAACCAGCAATGGCAGTGCCTGCATCAACCACAAGAAGCAGCAGCAGCAACAAAAGGCAGGAATCCTTGACTGCAACCCTTCCAGACATGAACGTTCAAACAGACACCCTTCTGCCTCCATTTGCCTCCAATCTTCGTCCTCCTCAGACCCTCCCTCTTCCCCCTCCTCCCCTTCCTCCCCTTCCTCCCTCTCCTACCCCTCCTCCGCTTCCTACCCATCCTCCCCCTCCTACCCGTCCTACCCCTCCTCCCCGCCATCCTCATCTTCCTCCCCATCCTCCTCTTCATCACCTTCGCCCCGCTCCCCCGCACCCCCGGCTGCCCACATGCGCACGTCTCTGCCCCCGTCGCCCAAGGTCAGAAGACTGAGAGTGCAAATGAGAGCAGCAGCAGCAGCAAGGCAGGCCAGCAAGCAGGGTGTGGGGGGCACGAGTGGTGGGATTTTCTTTTGATGCTTCAGGCCGCAGGCAGACCACCCACAGCAGCAGGCAGGCTGGCGAGCAGTCTGTGGTTGCTACATGAGCGGTGGGTTTACTTGGTTTCTTTACACATCACTCTGGAAAACACCAGGTTTGTCTGTTCTTTGTTAATTCTCGCTTGTATGTGTGTCCGTAGATAATACGTGCTTTAACATTGTCATGTACCCCCCCGGATAGAAGCGCATTCTTTTATTTGGCGCATGCGCCTGTATCCCAACTACTGTGCTTATAGGCAGTTGCCGATTATAAGAACAGGCTCAATGGAGTTTTTTTAATAAGCGCATCTGATCAAGTATACTAAGTACCTAGGAACAAGGTTTGGGCTTAGGAACAAGCATCATGACGGGAGGGAAGCCAAAAGAGGGGGTTCACTAGAGGGTTTGAAGTACAAATAGGGAAGAAGCAAAAAGTGCACCACCAACAGTTTATAATAATAACTACACTAAACTACAGCAAGTAGGATATAACATAAACATAGCATTGACACACCCCCTTATCCTGCTTGCGGTAGGAATCAGTGCAGTCAACACCCCCTGAAGGGGTGAACAAGGTGCAGCGGTAGACGTCAGAGGGTGGTAAGTGAGGGAAACGAGGCGAGAAAGGAAGAGGAGAGGAGAGGAGTACTGAAGGGAAGGTAAGAGAGAGGGATGAGGAGAGGAGGTGGGGGGTGGCCGCAGCGAGACGGGACAGAACGGGAGGCCGCGACGTCCTCGCTTACGAACCCCCTTTTACAATTGGGGAGGGGGGGGGGGGGGGGGGGGGGGGGGGGGAGAGGAGTGAGGGAAAAGGAGAGAAGGTGGGGGGCCATGCATGAGTGTACCAACTCCACCCTCTTAAAACCGAAATACAAAATAGTGAACCCTATCCCAGCTTGAAATGGTGCTGCAGAGAGCGGGCCGATAGAGCACTATTAAAAAAAAAACGAGTAGCACTGTGAACAAATGTGATTGGCTTTCGAAAATCTTGATGCTTCTTGTTCCCGCCAAAACACATTTCCATGCGGATCTCCTCCGTCGCATGTCTACGTGCTACACCTGCACGACTGTAGCCCAGTGATGGTTTCCATCGCCAGGCCAACGTTGGTTTCAAGCTGGAACTGGGTTCCATGACTTGCTGCTCTCCATCCCGAAGTCACTAGTTTTATTCCTAGCATATTTTAGCTGACAACAATAGGTGTTTGTGGCCAAGGTAAGTAACTTTCGACCCTGCGGAGATGCGTAAGACTGTTACGTAGCTTAGTATCGTAATATTTTTCCCTCCGCAGGCTATCGTTACCTTTCCGCAGGGGCTAGTTTCCTGTCTCGCGCCTTCGCCATCTCCCCTACCCTCCAGTCCTTCGTCCGCTGTCCGCTCCCCTCCCATCACCTTCGCGGGTCTCTCTCCTCCCCCCCCCCCCCGTCGCCCTCTCTTTCTTCCCTCCCTCCCTGTCACCCTCGCTCTCCCTCCTCCCTTCCTGTCACTTACCTCGTCGGCTATAGCTCTCTTCCCGAAATGCCCTCCACCCAACGCCTTTCTGTCAAATTATATATATGCTATATATGTTTAGGCTGTAGTGGGGTAGCCAGTATGGGGTACAGCCCCTTTAGGGTTTCATATTTGTACCAAACTCTTTCCTAGTTCAATCATTCCTGCCTAGCATTCTGACATGGTATTCAGAGCAGTAGGTCTGTAGGACCGATTTTTTTTTAGGGCCCACCTACCGTTGCGGTTACTGAGCTGCCCCACGTCGTGCCTGCGCTGCGCTGCCCGCGCGCGCCCTGCCTTGCCTGCGCTGCTCTGCCCCCGCGCGCCTCTGCCTTGCCTGCGCGCGCTGCCCTAGTCCCGAGCGTGCCGCATCGTCCGCCGCCCGTGCAGCTCGCTACTGCCCCGCGCGCCGCGTCCGCCGCCCGTGCAGCCCGCTGCTGCCTCGCGCGCCGCGTCCGCCGCCCGCGCAGCCCGCTGCTGCCCCGCGCGCCGCTTTCTGCCTACCCGCACGTCGCTTTCTGCAGCCCATGCACCGCTTTTTTGCCTACCCGTGCGCCACTTTCTGCCTACCCGCACGTCGCTTTCTGCAGCTGTGCACTGCACTCTGCCTACCCGTGCGCCACTTTCTGCCTACCCGCGCGTCGCTTTCTGCAGCCCGTGCACCCCACTCATGGCGACTCTCAATGTCCTCGCTTTCGATCCTGACAGTCGCGCGATAGAGTTTGCCACTTGGCTCGACGACCTGCAACTGTTTCTTCTGACTGATGCCAAAGATGGAGTTTCACTGTTTGATTACGAGACTGGCACTGCCGTTGCTCCTGCTGACACTGCTGCCGCTCTTGACCGCTCACAGTGGCAGACTCGTGATGCTGCTGCGCGCCTCGCTATTCGCAACCATCTGTCGATCACTGAGCGCGCGCACTTTAGTCAGCACAAGACTGCTAAGGCACTGTATGAGGCTGTAGTTGCCCGCTACTCTTCCCCAGCCACTGGAGCCGTAGGCCGTCTCATGCTACCCTACCTGTTCCCCGACCTGTCCTCGTTTACCACCGCTGAGGACCTCATCTCTCACCTCCGCGTTAGTGACGCTCGCTTTCGTGCCGCCCTTTCAGACTAGTTCCTCGCTGAGAATCACCCCCCGATGTACTTTACTCTCTACTTCCTCATCAACCGCCTCCCTGACACTCTTCGCTCAGTCACGGACCACTTTCTTGCCCTAGACCCGACCACTATCACTGTCGCCGACTTCGAGACGCACCTCCTAGCAGCTGAAAAGAACATTCTCGTTGTAGGTGCTGCTCGTGGCACTCCTCGCACTCCCCTCTTTGAGGGGTGCTCCCCCTCCCTTCTTGCCCCCTCCTACGCCTCTGCCGCAGCTGCTTTCGACTACCTTGGTGCTGAGGAGGTCGGGGCTGCTTCCGCTCCTAGTGGGAAGCGCCGCAACGCCAGGGGCAGCAGGGGTGGCAGGGGAGGTGGAGGTGGCGGTGGAGGGGGCGGTGGTGGAGGCGGCGGGGGTGGTGGAGGTGGTGGGGGTGGTCGTGGGGGTGGAGGTGGTGGTGGGGGCGGCGGGGGTGCCGGGGGCAGTGGAGGTGGCAGCGGCGGGAGTGGGGGAGGAGGGAGCGGTGGTGGCAGCGGTGGTGGGAGCTGGAGTGGAGCCGGCCAGAAGGGGAGCTCCAGTGGTGGCCAGGGACAGCAGCAGCAGCAGCAGCAGCCGCAGCAGCAGCAGCAGCGTCAGCGTCAGACCCCCACGTCTCAGCAGCTTCATGACTGGTACGCTCAGCGTGGGGTGTCCGGGGGTCCTGTTCGCTGCACCTATACCATTCGCACAGGTCCCCGCGCTGGTCGCCCATGCAACGGCTTTCACACGGAGTACCGCTGCTTTTCTCGGCTCAGCGACGCCTGGCGCGTCAAGTTTCTTGAGGCTACTGAGTTTCCCCCTTGGGCAGATCTGCTTAGGCGTGATGTTCCTATCTTTGATCTTGACTATGATGCTATTCTTGCTGCCATGTATGCATTGACTGTTAGTGCTGAGGGTGACTGCTACTTGTGTGTACCGCCTGACCCAGGTATAGCCCCAGGTGTAGAGCCTGCAGCCCTTGGTGCTTGTGAGTCTGTTCTCCCAGGTACTGCGTCCGCTCAGGCCTTGCACACCTTTACACTTGACTCAGGTGCTTCCCGCTGTTTCTTTCGCGACAGTACCACAGTCACTCCCCTCCTTGCACCTGTCCCTGTCTCACTGGCTGACCCCTCTGGGGGCCCAGTGCTTGCACGGTCCACTACTGTGCTTCCGTGCCCGGCGGTCCCATCTGGTGAGCTGTCTTGTCTCCACATCCCCTCGTTCTCTATGAACCTGGTGAGCAACGCCGTCCTTCAGGATCATTGGGTTGACACCTTTACTCCTGGAGGACAGCGTGTGGCGATCTGCACGTGCTCTCGGACTGGCCGCCACCTGGCCACGTTCACACGAGCGCCTGGGTCCAGTCTGTACACCCTCACCACTGCGTCGCACTCCACCCCTTTGTCTCCTCAGTTGTACGCGTCCGCTCAGGTAGCTACCCAGTGTAAGTGTCGCCGCCTGTCGCACCAGACCCTCTTTTGGCACCACCGCCTTGATCACCCCTCCTTGCCTCGCCTTCGTGGCATGCACTCTCGCCTCCTGGTCTCTGGTCTTCCCAGGTCTCTGCCCTCACTCCCTGCCTCGCCTGCGCCACCCTGCATTCCTTGCGTCGAGGGGCGGCAGCGCGCCACTCCTCACTCCTCGTTCCCTCCCACAGAAACTCCACTGCAGACTCTCCACATAGACGTGTGGGGCCCAGCCCGCGTCGGTGGACAGGTCCACGAGCGGTACTTTCTGCTGGTAGTCGACGACTACACGCGTTACACCACGGTCTTCCCCTTGCAGCGCAAGGGGGATGTCCCTGCTATTTTGATCCCTCGGATCCGCGCTGTTCGTCTCCAGCTCCGCGAGCGGTTCGAGTCGGACTTTCCTGTCCTCCGTCTGCACTCTGACAGAGGTGGTGAGTTTTCCTCCAACCTCTTGCGAGCCTACTGTGAGGAGCACGGCATCTGCTAGACGTTTACGCTCCCGGCCTCTCCGCAGCAGAATGGGGTTGCTGAGCGCCGCATTGGCTCCGTATCTCCGTTCCGGAGACTTCGCCCACACTACGTTGGACGGGGGAGGTTGGCGATGCGTCGCGGTTCCGGGTCTGGGGTGCTCGTGCCTTTGTCCGCGATACCACTGCGGACAAGCTCTCCCCTCGCGCCATTCCCTGCGTCTTCCTTGGTTTCCCCCCTGATGCGCCTGGCTGGCAGTTTTACGACCCTGCCTCGCACAGTGTCTTTCCGTCTCAGGATGTCACCTTTGACGAGTCGGCCCCCTTTTACCGTCTGTTTCCCTACCGCACTGCAGCTCTCCCCCCCCCGCCGTTCTTCCTCGCTCCACGTCCTCCCCAGGTAGACCCCCTCCCCGTTCCCGGTCCTGCTCCTTCATGTGTGTCTCAGGTAGACCCTCCTCCCTTGACTGAGCCGGTTGAGGTCACAGGTGACTCACGTCCTGCTGGGGGTGGTCCTGCTCGGGGTGCTGCTTTTGGGGGTGCTGAGCCTGGGGGTACGGAGCCTAGGGGTGCTGAGCCTGGGGGTGCGGAGCCTGGGCGTGAGGAGTCTGGGGGTGCTGAGCCTGAGGGTACTGAGTCTGGGGGTGCTGCGCCTGGGGGCACTGAGGCGCCTGGTGAGCAGTCTCCTTGGAGCGGCCGCCTCCGTAGTCGCTCTGCTGGTGCCTCGCCACAGCACTCTCGTAGTCGTGTTCCGCTCTCCCCACAGCAGCTACGCGAGTGGTACGTTAGCCGTCAGGGTCGCGCTGCTGGAGCTGGGGGCCCTGCTACGGGAGGTGCTGGCGTTGGAGGCCCTGGAGCTGGCGCTGTCCCGCTCTCCGCACAGCAGCTGCGTGAGTGGTACGTTAGCCGTCAGGGTCGTGCTGCAGGAGCTAGGGGCCCTACTGCGGGAGGCGCTGGTGCTGGTGACTCTGCTACTGGAGGTGTTTCTACTGGAGTTCCTAGAGCCGCTGGTCCCGGAGGTGCTCGTACTGGAGGTACTGGAGCTGCTGGGGCTGGTGGTACTGCTGGACCTGGAGGTGCTGCTGTAGACTCTGAGGTTGGAGACCCTGGAGCTGGAGGTGTGGGTTCTGGGGGTGCTGCTGTTAGAGACACTGAGGCTGGAGACCCTGGAACTGGAGGTGCCGGTTGTGGGGGTGCTGCTGCTGGAGGTGCTGGTCCTGGAGGTGCTGTTGCTGGAGTTTTCTGGAGCTGCTGTTGCTGGAGATTTCTGGAGCTGCTGGAGGTGCTGGTACTGGAGGTGCTGGCGCTGGAGGTTCTGGAGCTGGTGGAGGTGCTAGCGCTGGAGGCGCTAGAGCTGGAGGTTCTGGAGCTGCTGGAGGTGCTGGAGCTACTGGTGCTGGTGGCCCTGCGCAGCCGCGACTGTTCTCCGCTCCGCCGTCGCCTTCGTCCCTGCCACCGCCTGACTCCGTGCTTCGCCAGGTTCTTAGCCTCCCGTCTTCTACTGGTCTTCCGTTACATCCTGGCTCACCGTTGCCTGCTCCTTCTCCTTACACTGAGCAGACAGGGGGTCTTACTGAGCGTCGTGAGCCTGCGTCTCGTCTTGTCTCGCTTGTTCACACTGTCCGCACTGGTCGTACTGGTCGTCGTGTTCCTCGTGAGCGTCCACCGGCTGTCCCCGGCACACACCTCATGGCTCTGCATCCTTCCTCTGCTACGCAGCGTGTTCCCCTGCCGTCCCCTCCTGCATCCTCTCTGCCTGACGTTCCAGACCCTGAGTATGACAGCGCTCGTGCTGCTCACCCTACTGTCACGCGTCTGCTAGCCACTGTTGTCACTGACCCGTCGTTTGAGTCTGCTGCTGCGTCTGCCTTAGTCGCTGAGCTTGTTGACTTTGCTGCTGCCTGTCGTCTCGACTACGCCGCTAGTCTTGTTGCTGAGTCTGAGTCTGTCTGTCCTCCGTCCGTCTGGGGTGAGTGTGCTCTTGGTACGGACGTCCTTGAGGACAGGAAGGAGGAGTTTGAGTGCCTTGCAGCCGCTGCGCCTCATCTTGTGGCCATGCTGCTTGCCCCTGAGGGAGACCCGGATGCTCCATACATCCCTACCCCGCGCTCTTACGCTGAGGCGATCGCGGGTGAGTACTCCTCTCAATGGCAGGCAGCCATGGACGCAGAGATGGCATCCTGGAAGTCCACAGGCACTTACGTTGACGAGGTTCCCCCTCCTGGGGCGAACATCGTCAGTCGCATGTGGATTTTCAGGGTGAAGCGGCCGCCAGGTTCTCCGCCTGTCTTCAAGGCTCGTTACGTTGCTCGAGGCTTCAGTCAGCGGGAGGGAGTTGACTTCTTCCAGACCTTCTCCCCCACCCCGAACATGACCACTCTTCGGGTGCTGCTGCACGTTGCCGCTCAGGGTGACTACGAGCTTCACTCTCTTGACTTCAGCACAGCTTTTTTACAGGGCAGCCTGCACGAGGAGATCTGGTTGCGCCGCCCACCTGGCTTCACTGGGTCGTTCCCTCCTGGTACCCAGTGGAGCCTCCGGCGGCCAGTCTACGGTCTCCGCCAGGCGCCGCGTGAGTGGCACGACACACTGAGGACGACACTTGCGGCTCTTGGGTTTGCTCCTTCCACTGCTAACCCGTCGCTGTTTCTGCGCACCGACACTTCGCTGCCGCCGTTCTACATCCTCGTGTACGTCGACGACTTGGTCTTTGCCACTGCTGACATTGAGGCTCTCGCCCTGGTGAAGTCGGAGCTGCAGAAGAGACACACGTGCACAGACCTGGGTGAGCTGCGCAGTTACCTTGGCTTGCAGATCACTCGGGACAGAGCACGCCGCACCATCACCCTGACTCAGTCACACATGGTGCAGCAGGTCCTTCAGCGCTTCGGCTTCACCTGGTCCTCGGCACAGGCCACTCCTCTGGCTACATGTCACTCGCTCTCAGCTCCACCTTCGGACGAGTCCGTAGAGCCGAGTGGTCCTTACCCAGAGCTAGTGGGCTGCCTCATGTACCTGATGACCTGCACACGTCCTGACCTTGCGTACCCTCTTGGCCTTCTGGCTCGCTACGTGGCTCCTGGTAGGCACCGAAAGGTGCACATGGATGCTGCTAAGAGGGTACTGCGCTACTTGTGCAGTACATCGGGCATGGGGCTCGTGCTTGGAGGACGGGGCGACGTTGTCCTCTCTGGGCACTCGGACGCTTCTTGGGTTGATGACCTGGCTACGCAGCGGTCGTCACAGGGTTACACCTTCAATCTTGGCTCTGGCTCTGTTTCGTGGCGGTCTACACGCTCGTCTTCTGTTCTCGGCTCCAGTTGTGAGGCTGAGATCTACGCCACAGCCATGGCTGCACAGGAGTTACGCTGGCTCACCTACCTGCTGACCGGCCTGGGAGAGCGGCCTCGTTCTCCTCCAGTTCTGTACGTAGACAACAAGGCCGCCATTGCCTTGTGTCTGGAGCACAGACTGGAGCACAGAACGAAGCTCATCGCTCTGCGTTACTCGAGAGTTGCAGCAGCGTGGTCGTCTTGCTTACGTGGCCACTCGGGCCAACACTGCTGATATATTCACCAAGGCACTTCCGCCTGGTGATCATCAGCGCTTTGTACTTTGTTAGGCCTTGTGCCTACGTTTCCTCACTTGCTGTAGACTCTGCTTGTACAGTGATATATATATATACATATACATATATATACCTGCATGCTTCCTCTTGCTAGGTAGTGATCACTGTGTTGCTGTTGTTGCATATATACCTCTGCATGTGAACTGGCCTTGTGGCCCTCTGCTTGTGCTTAGTGGGTGTGGTGACGTTGTGATCCACCCTGAGCTTGCTTTGCTTCTCTTGACTGGTCTTGTGACCCCTTGCTCTCCCCCACTTTGCCTATGGGGGTGTGTCAAATTATATATATGCTATATATGTTTAGGCTGTAGTGGGGTAGCCAGTATGGGGTACAGCCCCTTTAGGGTTTCATATTTGTACCAAACTCTTTCCTAGTTCAATCATTCCTGCCTAGCATTCTGACACTTTCTTCTAACCCCTCCCATCACACACCTCGTCGCCTACGCTCTCTCTCTGAAACAGCCTCCCCGCGCCCTTCCTCTCTCCCCTCCCATCACTTTTCCCGTCGCCTTCGCGCTCTCCCTCCCGTCGCCTGCGCGCTCTCCCTCCCGTCGCCTTCGCGCTCTCTCCCCCCTCGCCTTCGCGCTCTCTCCCCCCTCGCCTTCGCGCTCTCCCTCCCGTCGCCTTCGTGCTCTCCTTCCCGTCGCATTCGCGCTCTCCATTCCGTCGCCCTTGCAATTTCCCCTCTCTTCCGTCGCCCACTTCATCTCCTATCCCGTCGAATTCCTCCTCTCCCCTCTCATCCCGTCGTTCACCTCCTCTCCCCTCCCATCCCGTCTTCTTCGCGCTCTCTCCCCCCTCGCCTTCGCGCTCTCCACCCCCTCGCCTTCGTGCTCTCTCCGCCCTCGCCTTCGCGCTCTCTCCCCCCTCGCCCTCGCGCTCACGTTCCTCCCTCCCATCGCCATCGTGCTCACGTTCCTCCCTCCCCTCGCCATCACGCTCACGTTCCTCCCTCCCCTCGTCATCGCGCTCACGTTCCTCCTCTCCCCTCCCATCCCGTCGTTTGCCACCTCTCTCCCATCCCGTCGTTCGCCTCCTCTCATCCCGTCGAATTCCTCCTCTCCCCTCCCATCCCGTCGAATTCCTCCTCTCCCCTCCCATCCCGTCGAATTCTTCCTCTCCCCTCCCATCCGTCGTTCGCCACCTCTCTCCCATCCCGCGTTCGCCTCCTCCCATCCCGTCGAACTCTTCCTCTCCCCTCCCATCCCGTCGTTCGCCTCCTCTTCCCTCCCATCCCCTCGTTCCTCCTCTCTCCCCTTTCTTCCCGTTGCTCTTGTGATCTCCCCTCCCATCCGCTGGTTATTACCTTGTCCAACTTATTTTCTCCCCTCGTTCTTCGACACCCAAATATTTAACCTCTTTCAGCCCCAAGACCAAGGAAACGTCTTTTCTCGTAGCTCTGCTCTCAAATTTTGCATATGTGTGCGCTGGACTTTGCCTGTGTTGTTGATTGATGTGAGTTTTGATGAAGTTACAATGACTGCTCGAGTGAATACAGGCATTGCAACCTTGCGCCAAATTCGCACACAAGTATGTGTGAGTTGTGTGTGAGTGTCGCTGCCAATCAGAATCGTACACATGGTCCAAATGTTCTCTCTTCACAATGAGACTTGTATGGAGTGAAAAAATAAATATGCACAGCATTTCCAACTGTCTCAAGTGTTCCAAAAAAACTTCTGTTTTCAAGTGGACCCAACTAGAAGGGGGGGGTCACTATTTTAGCTGCTGGCTTTAATAACCTTCAGCACTCAACTCAACCACCCCCCTTTAACCTCACCCCCTGAATCTGCCGTCCCCTCAATTCTCACCCTCACCCCACTGTCCTTCACATACCCGCCACCCTCTCACCCTCCCGTCACCCCCTCATCTCCTCCCCGCCCGGCAAATGCTGCTGAATGGAGGAGGGGGGGGGGGGCGCGGTGGCTGCTGCTGGCGGTGGTGCTGGCGATTGCGTTCCGCGCTGGCGCTGGTGCACGTCAATGGCGCTCGTCGCTGGCGCTTGTCGCTGGCGACCCGTGGAGCGACGGAGGGCCGCAGGGCGGCGAAACGGCGCGGGTCAACGAGGGGGGGGGGGGGGGGGGAAGGGGGGGGACGGACAGGGCGCAGTGGGGGCGCGACGGACGGGGAGGGCGCACGGGGCGCGACGGACAGGCAGGGCACAGCGGTGGCGCGACGACGGGAATCGGGACGGGACGGGCGGCGCGCAGGGCAGAACGGGCCGCGCGCGGGAAAAAACAGGCTGCGCGCGAGGTAAAACGTGCTGCACGCGAGGAGGGTCCATTCCCCTGACAAGAGTAGGAAGGTTCCAGGATGGAACCAGCTCTGAAACCATGTTAAGATACTAAGTACCTAGGAACTAGAAACAAGCATCATGACGAGAGGGAAGCCAAAAGAGGGGTTTCACTAGAGGGTTTGAAGTACGAATAGGGAAGAAGCACAAGGTGCACCACCAACAGTTTATAATAATAACTACACTAAACTACAGCAAGTAGGATATAACATAAACATAGCATTGACAATTACGTCGTTTATTGAATGTACTGTAACGATCTTGGCCTGCCACCCGTAAACAGTCTCGACCCTCGAAAGTCAGCACGGAAGTAGGTACAGTACAGCGGGGTCAAACATTGTCAACTACCAGGGCCCTGTTCTGTTGCCCATCGGCTAAATGGTGGGCGGACAGCACAGAACCGCATCAGCTGTGCGACAGGAGGCTCGGTACGCATCAAGATTTTTGAAGGCTCACGCTATCTTCTGTCAAACTATAATGCTGTTTATGTTGTGTAGGCTGTAGGGGTAGGTTATATAGGGTACAACCCAACTCGGGTTAGTACTTGTATTCAGTTTGATGTCAATGCAATCATTCCTGCTTGTTAGTTTCTGACATGGTTTCAGAGCAGTAGGTCCGTAGGACCGTTTTTTTTTTTTTTTTTCGGGCCCACCATTACCTAGTGACCGACTGCGGTTACCGCGTTACCCCACGCCCTGCCCTGCACTGCGCCGTCAGCGCGCGCCCTGCCCTGCCCTGCCTTGCGTCACACTGCTCGTGTACGCCCTGCCCTGCCCCGCGTCGCGCTGCCCCGCTCACGCCCTGCCCAACCCCGCGTCGCGCTGCCCCGCGCATGCCCTGCCCTGCCCCGCATCGCGCTGCCCCGCGCACGCCCTGCCCTGCCCCGCGTCGCGCTGCCCCACGCACTGTTAGAGGTCCACTGGTGATCCCCGATTGATCCTAGGGAAGGGTTACAGGCATGTTGGCCTGGGGGGTTATGGGCGCACTGACCCGCTACTTAACAAGCCCTTTTATCCCAATGGTCTAGTGGTTGGGATTCTGACATGGTATCAGAGTGAAGGTCTCGGGTTCGAATCCCAGTGTGTGCACTTCGGGCATCCCAGTGCGGGGGGGTGTCAGAGGTCCACTGGTGATCCCCGATTGATCCTAGGGAAGGGTTACAGGCATGTTGGCCTGGGGGGTTATGGGCGCACTGACCCGCTACTTAACAAGCCCTTTTATCCCAATGGTCTAGTGGTTGGGATTCTGACACGCACGCCCTGCCCTGCCCCGCGTCGCGCTGCCCTGCGCACGCCCTGCCGTGCCCCGCGTCGCACTGCCCCGCGCACGCCCTGCCCTACCCCGCGTCGCGCTGCCCTGCGCACGCCCTGCCCTGCGCGTCGCGCCCTGCTGCAGCCCGTGCGTCGCGCTCTACTGCTCCGCGCGTCGTGCCCTGCTGCAGCCCGCACGTCGCGCCCTGCTGCCCTGCACGTCGCACCTTGCGGCAGCCCGCGCGTCGCGCTCTGCTGCCCCGCGCGTCGCGATCTGCTGCAGCCCACGCGTCGCGCCCTGCTGCCCCGCGCGTCGCGCCCTGATGCAGCCCGCGCGTCGCGCCCTGCTGCTCTGCGCATCGCGCGCCCTGCTGCAGCCCGCGTGTCGCGCCTTGCTGCCCTGCGCAGCGCGCGCCCTGCTGCCCGCGCCGCCCAGGCCGAGCCGCGCCGCCCAGCCCGAGCCGCACTGCCCAACCCGATCCGCCCTGCTGCTCGTGCTACTGCTGCTACTGGTGGAGGTGCTGCTAGGAGTGCTGGAGGTGCTGCAGCCTAACCTCAGCGAGCCGCTCTACTACTCTTACTGCTACTACTGCCTTCCCTCTGTACTGCCCTACTGGTCGCGCGCCTCCTTGCTTGCCCGCTATGATTTCACTTCGTAGGAGCGGTGGGAGTGGTGACGGCGGTGGTGGCAGCAGTGGGAGTGGTGGCGGCCGTAGTAGCAGTCGCTATGGAGCTGTTCAGTGGGGAGTTTCTGGCGGTGGCTAGATGCAACTGCAGCGGCGTCCGCGCGAGACCCTTACGCCCCAGCAGCTTTTTCAGTGGTACGCCAGTAGGTGTCGTGGCGGCGGTCGTAGTAGCAGTCGCGGTGGAGTTGTTCAGTGCGGAGTTTCTGGCGGTGGCCAGATGCAGCTCCAGCGGCGTCCGCGCGAGACCCTTATGCCCCAGCGACGTCTGCAGCTTCGTGCGTGGCACGCTCAGAGTGGGGGGACTTGGAGTACTGTCCGCTGCCCATACGTCATTTGCACAGGTGATCGGGCTGGTCAGACTTGCGGGACAGTTGGTCACATACAGGCTCGCTGCTTCGCCTATCTGAGCGACGCCTGGCGTGCAGTGTTTGGCGACGAGGCTGAGCTCCCCCGCTGGCTAGAGCTGCTTCGGAACAAGGTGGATATCTTTGCTCTAGACTATGACACTATCCTCACTGACATGTATGCTTTGACTATTAGTGCTCAGGGTGACTGTTACCTGTGTGTGCCGCCTGACCTTGGTATAGCGGCTGCTGCTTTAGGTACTGGTGAGTCTGCTCTAGGTGCTGGTGAGTCTGCTCTAGGTGCTGGTGAGTCTGCTCTCTTTGGTACTGCGCCTGCTGAGGACTTGCACACCTTTACGCTTGACTCAGGTGCTTCCCGCTGCTTCTTTCGCGACAGCACCACAGTCACACCACTCACAGCACCGGTTGCAATCTCTCTGATTGACCCCTCTGGGGGACCGGTTCTTGCACGTTCCTCCACTGTTCTCCCATGTCCGGCGGTTTTTTCTGGCTCACTGTCAGGTCTTCACCTCCCCTGGTTCTCTACGAACTTGGTGAGCAACGCCGTCCTTCAAGATGAATGGGTTAATACCTTTACTCCTAGAGGACAGCGTATGGCGATCTGCACGTGTGCACGTTCACCCGTTGGCCTGGGTCGAGCCTGTATACAGTGACTACTGAGCCTCCTCAAGTAGCTGCGCGTCAGGTCAGCTAGCAGCCCCCTGTTCGTGTCGCCTCCTATCGCACCAGACTCTCCTTTGGCACCACCACCTAGGTCACCCCTCCCTGCCACGCCTCCGTGGCATGCACTCGCGCCTCCTTGTCTCTGGTCTTCCCAGGTCTTTGCCTCCCCTCCCACCCTCGCCTGCCCCTCCCCGCCTTCCCTGTGTCGAGGGGTGGCAGCAAGCCGCTCCTCACTCCTCCTTGTTTCCCCCGACGACTGCTCCCTTGCAGACTCTCCACATGGACGTGTGGGGCCCAGCCTGCGTTCAGGGACAGGGCCGCGAGCGATACTTTCTGCTGGTTGTTGACGACCACTCGCGTTACACCACGGTCTTCCCCTTGCACAGCAAGGGGGAGGTCCCTCATATTTTTATCTCTTTGATCCGCGCTGTCCGTCTCCAGCTCCGCGAGCGGTTCGACACGGACCTTCCGGTCCTGCGTCTGCACTATGACAGAGGTGGTAAGTTCTCTTCCGACCTCTTGTGGGAATTTTGTCGTGGGGAGAGCATCCTCCAATCGTTCACGCTTCCGACCTCTCCGCAGCAGAATGGGGTTGCTGAGCGCCGCATTGGCTTAGTCATGGAGGTCGCTCGTACCTCCATGATCCATGCGACTGCTCCCTATTTCTGTGGCTGTTTGCGGTCCGGTACGCTGCGCATCAGCTCAACCTCTGGCCCCGTGTCTTCTTGCCGGAGAACTCGCCTACACTGCGTTGGATGGGAGAGGTTGGCGATGCGTCAGTGTTCTGGGTTTGGGGCTGTCGTGCCTTTGTCCTCGATACCTCCGCGGACAAGCTCTCCTCGCGCGCTGTTCCCTGCGTTCCTTGGCTTTCCCCCTGGCGCGCCTGGCTGGCAGTTTTACCACCCCACCTTGTCCCATGTCCTACCCTTTCAGGACGTCACGTTCGACGAGTCGGTTCCCTTTTACCATCTCTTCCCCTACCGCACTGCCCCTCTCCCCCCCCCCCGCCGCTCTTCCTCGCACCAGGTCCTCTTCCGGTAGACCCCCTCCCCCCTCAGGGTCCTGCTCCCTCAGGTGTGTCCCAGGTAGACCCTGTCGAGCCTATCGAGGTAGCTGTCGACTCTGGTGCTGCTAGGGGTGCTGCGTCTAGGGGTGCTGAGACTGCGGGTGCGGGGCCTGGGGGAACTGAGCCTGGGGGTGCTGAGCCTGGGGTTGCTGAGTCTGAGGGTGCGGAGCCTGGGGGTGCTGAGCCTGAGCGTGCGGAGCCTGGGGGTGCTGAGCCTGGGGGTGCTGAGCAGCTCTTCGTCGTTCCTGGTCCCCCTCCGGTAGACCCCTCCCCCCTCAGGGTCCTGCTCCTTCAGGTGTGTCTCAGGTAGACCCACTCCCCTTGGTTGAGCCTGTCGAGGTTAGTGGAGAATTTGGTGCTGCTCGGGGTGCTGCGTTTGAGCGTACGGAGCCTGGGGGTGCTGAGCCTGAGCGTGCGGAGCCTGGGGGTGTTGAGTCTGGGGGTGCTGAGCCTAAGGGTCCTGCGTCTACACTACGGGGGCCTCTCTCACCACAGCAGTTGCGCGAGTGGTACGCTCGGCGCTGTAGCCTTCGGAGTGGCGCTGATGGAGCTGGAGGCCCTGGAGCTGCTAGTCCTGGAGGTGCTAGAGGTACTGCTGGTACTGGAGGTACTGGAGGTGCTGGAGCTACAAGTCCTGGAGGTCCCACTGGTGCCTCGCCCCAACGGTCTAGCCGGTGGGAGCCTCTCTCACCACAGCAGTTGCGCGAGTGGTACGGTTGGCACTGTAGCCTTCGGAGTGACGCTGTTGGAGCTGGAGGCCCTGGAGCTGCTAGTGCTAGAGGTGCTGGTGGTGCTGGCACTGCTGGTCCCGGGGGTGCTCGTGCTGGTGGCGCTGGAGCTGCCGGAGCTGGTGGTGCTGCTAGTGCTAGAGGTGCTGGAGGTAGTGGAGTTTCTGGAGCTGCCAGAGCTAGTGGTGCTGCTGCTACTGGAGGTGCTGGAGATGCTGGTCCCGGAGGTGCTCTTGCTAGAGGTACTGCAGGTGCTGGAGCTGCTGGTCCTGGAGGTGCTTGTGCTGGAGGCACTAGAGCTACCGGAGCTGGTGGTACTGCTGGTGCTGGAGGTACTGGAGCTGCTAGAGCTGGTGATGCTGCTGGTGCTGGAGGTGCTGGAGGTGCTGGAGGTGCTGGAGGTGCTGGAGCTGTTGGTCCCGGAGGTGCTTGTACTGAAGTTATTGGAGCTGCTGGAGCTGGTGGTGCTGCTGGTGCTGGAGGTGCTGGAGGTGCTGGGGGCGTAGGAGCTGGCCGTACTAGTTGTAGAATTCCACTACTATAGCAGCTTGATAGAGCTTGAAAGCACGATTCCAACGCACCAAAGATTGCAGGAAACGGTCCACTATAGCCAGAGTTACACACAAACATAGCAGTGATAATGACTTGGTTGATTTCTGGTTTGTGCCCTCTGGTTTTATACTAGGACGCAATACAAAATAAAAGCACACAAGAAAGTGTCGACCCAGGTCGCACGTTGAATTTCGTCAACGCGAAATTCGGAGCCTTGAATTTCGCTGAGCAAATTCCATTGACTGGAATTCCGTAGACGAGAATTTCCGCGACAAGAATTCCGTCGACCACCGACAGTAACTCCCGTGCGAATTCCGCTGACTTCGACACTTCGCTGCCGAGTTTCAAACCGAACGCGACCCGAGATCGATTTCGCCAAACTGTCCCCAATCTGTCCCCAAACTGTCCCCAAACTGTCCTGACAAGACACTTTCGGGACACTTGAATCGAAAGGTCTCCAGTTCGAAACTCGTGTGCACCATAACCAGCGCCTTAGCAGAAACTGTCCTGAATCTGTCCTGAGACACTTTCAGGACAGATTTGAAGGTCACGAGTTCGAATCCCAGCGCAGACATTTTGTTGCTCATGGCAGCATTTCCTTCTAACACGCCCCCTTGCTGTCAGGAGCACGCTGGACCAGCCCGGCTGCTGCACAGCATCGGTTGAAGGCTGCCTTCTCGAGCCGCTTCGTGAAGAAGTCCGCGGGCTGCGCCGTCGTAGGGATGTGCTGCACCTCCAACTTCTTCATGCGCACCATGTCCTGTAGCCACATGTGGCGACGGTCCACATGCTTCATGCACCCCTGCAGCCCGCCCGCCTGGCAGAGCTGCACCGCTAACATGTTGTCGACGTACAGGGTGGTGGGGACACCCTTCTTGAGCAGTTGAAACTCCCACAGCAGGAACCTTAGCTTGCGCCCCACCTTTCCCGCTTCCACCATAGCCACAAGCTCGCTCTTGGTGGAGGAGAGCTTGGTCACACCCTGTAGCTTCTTGGCCTGCCATGAAACGGCAGCTCCGCCAAGCTTGAAGAGGTAGCCTCCCGTGGACGATCGGTTCTCCTTGTCGCCCGCATCATCCGCATCCGCATACCCTACGAGAGTCAAACTCTCTGGTCCTCCCTTGAACAGCAGCCCCATGTCCGGTGAGGCAGCCCAGTAGGAGAGTTTGCAGAAGAGCTCATGCCAATGCGCATCCGTCCTGAGGTGTGCACCTGCTGCAAGGCGGTCGGTCATGGTGCGATCGGCAAACAGCTCAGCATCCTCTATGACAAAGCTGGTAGAGGAGAGAGGGGTGATCGGCTGCTTCTTTGGTGGCGCCCCCTTGAAGAACCGCTGCTGCACCTTCGCCACATATGCATTCTCGTGCAGGAGGAGTGTCTTGTTGGGGCGGTCGCGCACAATCTGCAGACCAAGATAGCCTTCCGTGGATGACATGTATTCCACCACGAGGAGACCTTTGTCCACCACCTTGCCTTCAGGTCCGGTCAAGGTTACTCCGAGGTTGATGATGACGCTCCCCAATCCCCCTTCCTCCTCATCAACCTCATTCAAGTACTCCACATCATAGTAGATGTCCGTGCCATAAGCACCTCGAGCAAGGAATGCAATGCCGTACATGTTGTTGCCATCAACCGCATCCGAGGCTGTCATGGTGGATGCGGGAAGCCGAACAGGTGGCATACCCTTGTTGGACCTGCTAGAATGACATGGGGGTGGGGGAGTGGGCTGGAGGGGCGGAACCGTGGGTATGGGGTCCTTCCCATGGGTTGCCGCCGATTTCAGGTCCGTTGCATCTCCTTCCTTGTCCTCATCAGCTGCACGTCGTTCATCTGCAGAGGGACCAACCTCTGGTCCTACAGGTGCCACGCCAGCAGCTAAGAATGGACAGAGAGCTGGCGGAGCTATGGTTGCGTTGCTGCCCGCAGGGTCAACCGAACGATCAAACGGTTGTTCGCCCCCTTGCACGGACGGCACTGAGATTATGATGACGGTACGTGACGGCGGCTGATTCTGCTCAGGGCCATGGACCATTCCAAGAACCTCCCCCTCTCGCTCGTCAGGCAGCGGAAGCGTTTGACGAGTGAGTTTGGCTTCTTGGGAGGAGGCGCTCGACGTGTCCTCCCCTCCTTTCTCTAGGTCCATGCCTAGCATGCCACTGTTTGCGGCTGTCCACTGCACCGCACCAGCATGGTCATTCTCAATGTAAGTGTGCCGCAGGTTGAGCATCGCCTCGGTCCCCACCGCATATGTTGTGAGGCTGGCCGCTTCGTCATTCTCTTCCGGCGCGCTTGACACCACCTCAGCAAATGCCTTAGGCATACCGTTGCATGCCACCTCAGCCGCCGTGCCATTGCATGCCGCTGTAGCCGCCGTATTGTTGCATATTGCTGCAGCCACCGTGCCGTTGCATGCCGCCGCAGCCGCCCTGCCGTTGCATGCCGCCGCAGCCGCCCTGCCTTTGCATGCCGATGCAGCCCCTGTGCCGTTGCTCGCCGCTCCACCCGCCATATCGGTGCATGCCGCTGCAGCCGCCGTACCGTTGCATGCCGCTACAGCTGTTGCACCGTTCCTTGCTGGCCCCGGTTTCAGGTCAAGGCAGTGAAGGCGATGGCGGTATCGTGCCGTTGCAGCCACTTGACCTCCTGATGCGATGATGCGGGTGACACCTTCCTCGGTTTGCAGCTTTGCTCCCTTGTCCAAGAGCTGCCCAGGGGAGACCAAGTTGGCCTTCATTCCTGGCACAAAGAGGACATCATGTAGGGTCACACGCAAGCCATTAGTGCCCTCCAGCAAAACCTCACCAACACCGGCAACTTCCTGCATAGAACCATCAAACCCTTTGACTAATTTCGTTGCAGATGGGTCACGGATCACCGTGAACCACTCCTTGCGGCCGGTCATGTGTTGGGAGCATCCTGAGTCAAGAAACCACAAGTCCTTGTCGTCGGCCAGCAACTTTGCAGCCGAACACGCGACGGTGAGCGCCACGCCCTTCCCGTCTCCTTCAGCTACGTTCGCGGCTGCCGCGGGCGTTGTATCTTTCTTCTTGTTGGGGCACTTTGCAGCCATGTGCCCCTCCTCATTGCAGTTGTAGCAGCGCCCCTTGAAGGGGGCTCACTTCTTCTCCCGCTTGCCATCCTTCTTGTCCGTCTGCTCCCTTCCTCCTTTTCCTTCCTTCCCGTTGACCCCCGTTGTAGCCACGATGGTGTTGACAGCGCCCGAGAAAGCAGATGCATCGCTGGTGATCTGCTTGTAACTCTGTTCGATGGAGAGAGTCTGCTCCTCCATCAACACCTCGCTGCACACGCGTTCCACCGTCATGTCAGGGCTGGAAATTTCGAGCTTGCGGCGAAGAAATCCGTACTCCGGTGGTAGGCCCTTCAGCACGTGGGCGGCAAACGTGGCCATGTGGACCTCCTGTCCAATGGTCAGCAGCTCCGCTCGGATGGTGCGGGCCCTATTGCAGTAGGATTCCGCCGTCTCATCATCTCCCTTCCTGAGTTGGGCTAACTGGGTCTGAAGTAGGGAAGCGTGGAGAGCATCACGGACTTGATAAGTAGACAAGATATATGCCCATGCTAGCTGCCCGACTTTCTCTTGCTGAGAGAAACCAGAGATGGACATTCGGATGGGCGGAGAAACACATCGGTTCAGCACCATGAATGCAAGCATTTGGCCCTTTGCGTACTCCCTTCGTTGCAAAGGGTTGTTCGGGGCCGGGCTTGGTGCTGTCCCGTTGCAAAACTGCCACAAATCAGCACACTGGAGCTGAGGTCGGATGGCGCTGACCCACGCGGTAAGATCATGCCTTCCCTCCAGCAGCGGCGTTACGGAGATGTGCTCTACTCCAAACTTGAATTGGCCGTAGCTCGCCCCGATCATTCCCGTGTCAATGGTCGGTGCAACAGCTCCTCCATCAATGCCCACGGCACCAGGAGCCTCGTGCTCAGCTCCTCCTTCACCGATTCCTCCTTGCTGGCCGCTCGCAGGTGCTTGCTCCGCCGCGCGCTCCCGAACCATGCGTAGTAGACGACCGTCCACAACGAGGTCGACCTCCTCATCACGCAAGTTAGGGTGGTGCTCACGAACAGACGCTTCCAGCTCCTGACGGGCATTCAGGCCCTCGGTGCTCGTTAACCACTCCATGCGCAGTCAAAACGAGCATCAGCCACACCAACGTGGGAACGAAGTGATGGGAGGACAAAATCAAGCCGCTAGTTGGATCGACGCAGATAACGCACCTCTGATACCATGTAGAATTCCACTACTATAGCAGCTTGATAGAGCTTGAAAGCACGATTCCAACTCACCAAAGATTGCAGGAAACGGTCCACTATAGCCAGAGTTACACACAAACATAGCAGTGATAATGACTTGGTTGATTTCTGGTTTGTGCCCTCTGGTTTTATACTAGGACGCAATACAAAATAAAAGCACACAAGAAAGTGTCGACCCAGGTCGCACGTTGAATTTCGTCAACGCGAAATTCGGAGCCTTGAATTTCGCCGAGCAAATTCCATTGACTGGAATTCCGTAGACGAGAATTTCCGCGACAAGAATTCCGTCGACCACCGACAGTAACTCCCATGCGAATTCCGTTGACTTCGACACTTCGCTGCCGAGTTTCAAACCGAACGCGACCCGAGATCGATTTCGCCAAACTGTCCCCAATCTGTCCCCAAACTGTCCCCAAACTGTCCTGACAAGACACTTTCGGGACACTTGAATCGAAAGGTCTCCAGTTCGAAACTCGTGTGCACCATAACCAGCGCCTTAGCAGAAACTGTCCTGAATCTGTCCTGAGACACTTTCAGGACAGATTTGAAGGTCACGAGTTCGAATCCCAGCGCAGACATTTTGTTGCTCATGGCAGCATTTCCTTCTAACACTAGTGCTAGAGGCACTGTGCCGCGGCGCCTTTTTTTCACTCCCCCGTCGCCGTCGTCTCTGCCGTCACCTGGCTCGGTGCTTCGCCAGGTTCTTAGTCTCCCGTCTTCTACTGGCCTTACTTCTCCCTTTCTGTGTCCACCGCCTGACCAGTCGCAGCCACAGTTACAGCCAGACTCCCCGCTGCCTGCTCCTTCTCCTTACACTGAGCAGACAGACTCTCTTACAAAGCGTCAAGAGCCTGCGTCTCACCCTGCCTCGCCTGTTCGCGCTAGTCGCACTAGTCGTCGTGCCCCGCGTCCGCGTCCTCCTCCTGACCGCGGCACTCACCATATGGCACTTCGTCCTTCCTCTGTTCCACTGCGAGTTCCCCTGCCGTCTCCTCCTGTGCCCTCTCTTCCTGACGGTCCGGACCCAGAGTCTGACTTAGTTCATGCTGCCAGTCCTACTGTCACGCGTCTCCTGGCCACTGATGTCACTGACCCTTCGTTTGAGTCCACAGCTGCGTCTGCCCTAGTCGCTGATCTTGTTGACTTTGCTACTGCTTGTCGTCTCGACTACGCCGATAGTCTTGTTGCTGAGTCTGGGTCCGTCTGTCCTCCGTTCGTCGGGGGTGAGTGTGCTCTTGGTATGGACGTCCTTGAGGACAGGAAAATGGAGAGGAAAATGGAGAGGAAAATGGAGTGTCTTGCAGCTGCTGACCTTATCTCGTGTCCATGCTGCTTACACCTTAGAGAGACCCGGATGCTCCAGACATCCCAACCCCGCGCTCTTATGCAGAAGCAATTGAGGGTCCCTACTCCTCTCAGTAGCAGACAATCATGGATGCAGAGATGGCATCCTGAAAGTCCACAGGCACTTACGTCGACGCAGTTCCCCCTCCTGGGGCGAACATAGTCGATGGCATGTGGATTTTCATGGTGAAGAGGCCGCCGGGTTCTCCGCCTGTCTTCAAGGCTCGCTACGTTGAACATGGCTTTAGCCAGCGACAGGGATTTGACTTCTTCCAGACGTTCTCCCCTACCCCGAAAATGACCACTCTTCGGGTGCTGCTGCACGTCGCCGCTCAGCGTGACTACGAGCTTTACTCTCTTAACTTCAGCACAACTTTCTTACAGGGCAACCTGCACGAGGAGATCTGGCTGCGGTGCCCACCTGGCTTCACTGGGTCGTTTCTTGCAGCTTCCCAGTGGAGCCTCCGGCGGCCAGTCTACAGTCTCCGTTAGGCGCCTCGTGAGTGGCACGACACTCTGAGGACGACACTTGCGGCTCTTGGGTTTGCTCCTTCGACTGCTGACCCGTCGCTGTCTCTACGCACCGACACTTCGCTGCCGCCGTTCTACATCCTCGTGTACGTCGACGACTTGGTCTTTGCCAGTGCTGACACTGAGGGACTGGCCCTAGTGAAGTCGGAGCTGCAGAAGAGACGCACGTGCACAGACCTGGGTGAGCTGCGCAACTATCTTGGCTTGCATATCACCCGGGAAAGAACGCGCCGCACCATCACCCTAACTCAGTCACACATGGTGCACCAGGTCCTTCAGCGCTTCAGCTTCACTTGGTCCTCGCCACAGTCCACTCCTCTGGCTACCGGTCACTCGCTCTCAGCTCCACCTTCAGACGATTCCGTAGAGCCGAGTGGCCCGTATCCAGAGCTTATGGGCTGCCTCATGTACCTGATGACCTGCACTCGACCTGACCTTGCTTACCCTCTCAACATCCTGGCACGCTACATTGCGCCCGGGAGACACCGACCAGAGCACATGGAGGCCGCTAAGAGGGTGTTACGCTACTTGTGCAGTACGTTGGTCATGGGGCTCGTGCTTGGAGGACGGAGTCGAGTTGTTCTCACTGGCCACGCAGACGCGTCTTGGGTTGATGACTTGGCTACGCATCGTTTGTCATAGGGTTACACTTTCAGCCTTTGCTTCGGTTCTATTTCTTGGTGGTCTACCCGCTCGTCTTCTGTTCTCAGTTCCAGTTGTGAGGCTGAGATCTACGCAGGGGCCATGGCTGCGCAGGAGTTACGCTAGCTCACCTACCTGTTGACCGACTTGGGAGACCGGCCTAGTTCTCCTCCAGTTCTGTACGTCGACAACAAGGCCATGATTGCCTTGTGTCAGGAGCACAGACTGGAGCACAGACTGGAGCACAGGACGAAGCACATCGCTCTGCGTTACTTCCTTGCTCGAGAGTTGCAGCAGCGTGGTCAGCTTCGTCTTGCTTACGTGGCCACTCGGGCCAACACTGCTGATATATTCACCAACGCACTTCAGCGTCGTGATCATTAGCGTTTCTCAACTGTTTTAGGCCTTGTGCCTACTTTGCCTCACTTGCTCACTTCGTGACTTTGCTTGTTCTGTGATCCATATTCTTGTACTTGCATGCTTACACCTGCTAGGTTGTGATCACTGTACTGTTTGTTCCCATATCTATAACTCTGCATGTGAATTGGCCTTGTGGCCACTTGCTTGTGCTCAGGGTGTGTGGTGACTTCGTGATCCACCCTGAGCTTGCTTTGCTTTTCTTGACTGGTCTTGTGACCCCTTTTTCTCCCCTACTTTGCCTATGGGGGTGTGTCAAAATGCTGCTTATATTGTGTAGGCTGTAGTGGGGTAGCCTATATGGGGTACAACCCAATTAGGGTTAGTACTTGTACTTAGTTTGATGTCAATGCAATCATTCCTGATCGTTAGTTTCTGACATCTTCCTGCCCCCCTCCGCGTATGTTAAGGGCTAATGTTTTTTTTTTTTTTTTTTTTTTTTTTTTCATCGCATACCATCAAACCTCCTCTCGCCACCAACCATTGGATGGTTGGATGGCATGAAAGCAAAGGGGCCAACCAGGACAAAGAAAAACATTTTTCCCTGCCCTGAACCATTTGGTGCGGACCCTGGATTCCCCCTCTGACCCTGGACCAGGGCCGCACCAGTCCCACACCCATTTTGCCTCCGAGAGGGGGATTGCTTGTGCTTCACTGATTCACCGTTCTTTTGGGCAAAGGCGGGCAGACAGGACTGCACAGCACTCGTTAGGTCCGGGAAGGGGTTCAGTTTCCCGAGCCAAGTATAAAGGAATACGCCCTCGAAAACAAAGCTCCTAGGATCTCCAGTAGAACCCTGGAAGAAGCATCAATTTGTGTTGTGCGGAGGGGTCTGCACCAAGTGGTGCGGCAACAGAACAGGGCCCAGTGTTTTGCTGCCTTCAAGTGTTGGGAGGGAATCCAGGCCTCGCAACATGCGGGAGATTTCATATGCGACTCGTTATCATTTCGACTCGATGAATTTACAGTGACTAGAGCTTCAATTTGCTGTATTTCAACAAAACATAAGTTATATTATATACCAGCCAGAATGATCACAATTCAAGCAATCAGAACCACCTATCGAATGTTGTGTAAAAAAAAACCAAGAATAGTCATATCGAGTATTTTCACCACTCTTGTAGCAACCACAGGCTGCTTGCTGGTGAGCCATGCTGCCGCGGTTGGTGTGCCTGCATCTTGTTGCATCAGAAGAAAATTCCACCACTTGTGGCTCCCACAGCCTGCTCGCTGGCCTGCCTTGCTGCTGCTGCTCTCAGCTGTGCTCTCAGCCTTCTCGCAGTGGGCGACGGGGGCAGAAACTTGCGCATGTGCGCAGGGGTTTAAAAAAACTCTGCTCAGTTGTCGTTGTTACATTGAAAGCACGCAATAAATTTCTTAGTCATCATCGGACAAGGCGCAAGGGTGTTGCTCCTGGTCACTATCGTGGGTGGGGGGGGGGGGGGGGGGGGGGTAGGTGGTACGCGCTTCAGGGTAAAACTCGCTAAGGAGAACGGTAACCCTGGTGCCACAGTGTGCGTTAGACGTAAACCCTGGCATATCAGGAAAAACTAAGCTCCAGAAAAATATCCCTGAGGCAGGGCTTTTTTTTGGATTTCCAGAGCTGTTTTCTAGGGAACTCTGAAATTCAGGGTTAATTATGAGCGTTACTCTGATTTGTCAGAGAAAACTTAACTTCTGAAAAATATGCTCTAGGCAATCAGTGTAACTATTTTTCCCATTCTGAATGTCCTCTCAAGTATTGAACCCAGGCCTTCTGCACTCCTAAAAAATATAACCGTTGTGCTACGCGCTTACAATAAACTTTCTGACGAATTTATATAACCGGAAATTGTCGGCCTAACCATCTTCCACCAGGGGGGCTCGGTCGAAATGCCTATACCCTGTACAGAGAAAAATACATTCGCCACAAATATACACTGGTCTCTCAGAGTAGCTAAAATCAGAACCCTGACAAATCAGAGAAAACTTATCTTCCAAAAAAATTACCCAGGCACGTCAGAGTGACCCCCTAAAAACCACTCTGATTTTCAGAGAAACAGAGTAATTTACTCTGATAAAATAACCCCTGCCCTGAGGCATCAGTGTGACTACCAAAAACCACCCTGATTATCAGGGTATCAGGGTGATTTACACTGATAAAATTAGGCCTGGTGCTGACCCTGTTTCTGACAGACACATTTTTTACATCCTGTAATTCATTTGGAGTTCAGCATTCTGTCTCTAGTGGTAGTTGAGTGGTGCAACAGTGCGTTTTCTGATCTGGTGTACAGGCATATGATAATAATAAGCATAAAACATTTATTATATATTAGGCACACATACCGTTTCAGTTACGTATAAGTCAATCCCACCACTCCTGTAGCACCCACAGGCTTCTCGCTTGCCTGCCTTGATGCTGCGGGTGGTGTGCCTACAGCCCGCTGCATCAGAAGAAGATCCCACCACCCGTGCCTCCCACAGGCTGTTCGCTGGCCTGCTTTGCTGCCGCTGCTCTCAGCTGTGCTCCCAGCCTTCTGGCCGTGGGCGACGGGGGCAGACACTTGCGCATGTGGGCAGGAGGGGGTGCGGGGCAGCGGGGTGAAAGTGAGGAAGAGGAGGGGGAGGGGGAGCGGGGGGAGGAGGCGTACGAGCGGCAGGAAGCAGATGAGGGGGGGGATAGAGAGGAGTGGGAGGAGGGGGAAGTTTGGGAGGAGGGGGAAGAGGGGAAGGAGTGGCAAGATTGGGAGGATGGGGAGGAGGGGGACGAGGGGGAAGAGGTGGAGGAGGGGGAAGAGAGGGGGTACGAGGAAGGGACAGAGGGGGGCCGTATGGAGGCAAGAGGGTGACTGTTGAAACATTCACGTGGGGCACAGTGAGATTCAAGGAGTTCAGTCTTTTGCTGCTGCTGCTGCTGCTGCCGCTGGTGCTTGTGGTTGTTGTATGCAATTTGGCTGATGCCGGTGGCACAAGTCCCACCATTGCCGCTGCAGTAGCTGTCAGCATCCGGAGGAAGCTCGATGAACCGCCGCACACGCACAATGCTGTTGAACGACACACGCCGCACCAGCTTCGGACCCGCAGCTTGCTTCGAATCCAAAGGATCATCCTTTGGGCTCGCCCCTTCTGACTTCTGCCTGCGGCAAGTTCGGCCTTGACTCAGGCAGGAAGTTAGGCTCGGCCGGGCCAAGCAATCTGGTTCGATAGAGTCCAAATTTGGGCAAGATTGGCTTGTTTTGAGGATGGATACAGGGTTTACGGCTGGGCTTGTGCCACGGTTGTGTGTTAGGGTTGGGTGCTGGGCCGGTGCGGTGAATCTGGGGAGGAGCACAAGTGTGGCCGGCGCACCAGTTGGTGGTGACGGGCGGGCGGAGGGGAAGTGAAGGGCCGGGTAGTCATGGGAGTGTGAAGGAGACGTGGTGCAGGAAGAAGGACGTGAAGCAGAGGCGGCAGCTGGGAGGGTGGCGGAGGGAGGAGAAGAGGGCAAAGGAGGAGAGGAACCGGCGGAGAGAGCGAGGGAGTGTGAGGAAGGAATGGGTGAAGAGAGGTGGGGAAGAGTGAGGGAAGCTGAGCGGGAGAAGCGGCGGGAGTAGAGGGAGGAGGCGGTCTCGGAAGGATGCTGATGCTTCACGCCGTGATGCCGCTCCTCACGTTCCAGGATCGGCCGTGTTGCTGCCTCCGCGTGCTCTGCACTCCCAGCGCTTCTCGCTCCTGCCAGGGCGGTGCCATTAGTAGCACTTGAAGTGGTATCGCCGAGGTTGGCGCGCGGGAGGACGCCCTCCATCACTTGCTGCGCCGCCCGCCGGAACTTCAGCGACACCGCGAGACGATGCGCCATGTCCTCCACGATCAAACGCGAGCCGCGAAAGCCGGATTGGGAAAGAAAGAGCGCGGACGGCCGGAGGTGAGATTGGCGGAGGTTTTGTTTGGCAAGAGACGACTGGACCATGGCAGTACTCGCCGCCGGTACTACTATCGCAACCTGGACGGGCTTGGCAAAGTGAGACTTCGACCTCTAGGTTGACTCTCAAGAAACATGCTCTCTGAGAGCACGAATACCTCCATTTATCTCCGTCCACCATTCCGAAAGACCGGGCGGTTCTCGGAATCCGGGGAAGGCGAGCTCGAGATCGAGCCAATGATGGCGCCGGGTCTCGGCGCTCACAGGCCAACCCTTGAGAACGAATCTCAACCGCAGAGTTCATCGTCGGTGCCTGGCTGGCAGTCAGCCTGCCTCACACAGTCTAACCCTTTTTGAAAGGGAATCTCAACCACGAGTGCATCTCATCCTGTGGCGCGGCCCCAAACGAGCAGAATCCTAAATCCCGACCTGAGTGGTTACTACCTCCGCGTGCTTACATCGGTGACACACGGTCTGACTGAGCCACACACACGCCGGTCTCCGCGGCCATGCGTAGAACGCACAGCCATCAAAGGAAAAAAAAAGAAAAAAAAAAAAAAGAAAAAAAAAAAAAACAAACAAACAAACTTTTTACCGCGGCCCGCCACTATCTAGGCTGACTGAGATTTGGAAGCACAAGAGGAGGAGGCAAGTCAAAGCGTGGTTGGTAGAACTTTTTGGCGGGCCCCGCGGGGAGCAGCCGTGCGAAACGAGGTGGGGAGATGAGAGCTCTGACAGCTAAGGCTCCAACCAGGATGAATTAGCAGACCTGATTGGCTAAAAATGATAACTGACCCAGCAAATAGCCACCCAATAGATTAGCAAAAGCAAAACAACCTCAATCTACCTAACAGTACGGAAATCTACTACAGCGCAAGCAAGCTCGCTTGCCGTGCAAGCTGCACCAGTGGAGGACGCGCGAGCTTGGATTGGATTGGAGTAGTGTAATCTGCTCTGCCCAACCATAGATCCCCCGTCTCACAGGTTGGGTGGGCATGAGCGGCTGAGAGAGTCTGCTCGCATCATTTGAACTGCGAGCTGACAAAGAGAGAGCAGAGACTATCACAGCGAGGAAAAGCAGAGTCTTGGTTGGAAAGGCATCAAGTAGATCTGGTGGTCCTTATGCCGCGTTATGATTATTACGTACAACGAGGATGATGGTGGTGGGTGGGAGGTGATCACGACAGGAGACGGCACATGGCAGCTCAAAAGGTTATCGTGCGATGCAGAGGACACCGCGCATGGCAGTCGTGGCTGAAAATGTGTTATACGGTCAACAAGTTCTCATTTTGCTGGTGTGGACCTAGGGCATTGCCAAACTCGGATCCATAGCGGTACTAAGATTTTGAAATAAACTAAAATTACTATTTGATAAAGATCTATACCTAAAATATGTGCCTTATTCTTGTTCAGTATTACTCCCTCAAGGTTCTTCTCTAGACGTGTGCAAGAACAGGGGAGCTTTCAACAGGGGAGCTTTCAAAGCAATATGGCACACAACAGACAAATATTTACTATTATGAGTGACATAGCCAGCCAGCGGTACCATAATCTACAGATAAGAGCCTTAGACCTGAGAAAGAGGAATCTGCCACAAAGAAACACAATTCTCCAGATTCTACAATCATCCTTCCCTCCACCACTATCAGCAGCGGTTGTGCGTCCACAGAAAATAACTGCATCTTCTTGCGAAGCTGAATCGCAGGGGAGGGCTGGACTTCACTTAATCTCACTTCTTCCAAGACGAGATGTCGTGGCATGAGAGAAACAGGAGACGCGTGTCTTACAAACAGCCTTGGCAGCTGCGGTTGACGTGTGCAAATCACAGGCCATCATGAAACTGAACAACACTCATGATTTGTGGTAGGCAGTTGACTCAGGAGACACGCCACACATTCACATATCACATAAGATGCAGCACAAGGTGCTGCTGCTGCTGCGGATGCTGTACCAACCCACGTGTCACAATGAGCAAGCTTCATTGCAGTTGCAGAGACGGTCATGCTAGGGATCCTTGAAGCTTCTCACTCCTCTCGCGCCCGCTGCATCCTTTGTCAGGAGGACGCTGTTGGGGGCACAGAAGCCCCACCTGTTCCATCTTCTGCTGCTGCTGCTGCTACCGATGGTGCAGAAACAGCTTTGTCCACTGGAGCTGCAACACCAGTCTCTCCTGAAACAGTTTCAGCGTTTCCCCCATCGTTCTCCTCAGCGGCAGCAGGGGTGGACGAGGCAGCAGCACGGGTGCCAGTGGCAGCAGCGGCACCACTGATGGCGGAGGCCTGCAGCTCCTGAATGGTTATGAGATGGCGCGAGGACTTCCTGCGCTTCGTGCGCAGGCGCTTGAAGCAGTCAAAGAGAGGCACCTCTGACACCGGGATGAACTTGGCCACAAAGGCCAAGGGGAGGCTGCACACACACACGAGGGGGAGGGAGGGAGGGGAACAGGTGAATGGAACTCATGCAGCAAACAGGACTTTCAGCGGGGTGGAGCGAGGGCATGGCTGCGCATAGCATGATTTGGGACATGGCATGCAGCAGCATACGTGACACGTCATTCCCTGGAATGGAGAAGCATACAGACGATCATACATATGAATCGAGGACTTCAACAACAAGTTACAGCCACACAGCCAGGCCAGCAAGTTACCTGATGGCGCCGATGCCAACGCAGAGCAGCCACTGGTTCCAGGAGAGCGAGGTGGTGCCGGCGAAGGACTGGAAGACCTCCACCACGAGTGCTTGGAAGGTGACGGAGAAGCAGAGCACGGCAATGAAGATGGGGCTCCTGTGCAGGCGCTCAAACACATTGAACTTGTTGGGGCGCCGCGCGTTGATCTCGTTGAACAGCTGCATATGGGGAGGGGAGGGGAGGGGAGGGGAGGGGAGGGGAGGGGAGGGTAGGGGAGGGGAGGGGAGGGGAGGGGAGGGGAGGATGAGCGGGGTGAGGTCGGTGGGAATGAGGGAGGGAGGGGATGGTGGCCGCGGAACAAAAACGGCTTGACTGGGGGGCAGCAGCGCGGGTGAGTTGTTGAACAGGTAAGAGGCGAGGAGTAAGAACGGCAAGGGATACTTCTGTTAAAGCCAGCACATGAGGAAACGAAGCTTTAAGTAAAGGACCATGTGGCCATATAAACCGCAACTAGGAAACATCGTTGAGGGTTGAGTGAAGTACCTGGCAGAAAACAAAGGTGTTGAAGATGATTGTGTTGTTAAGCTGCTTGGGATTGGACACGCCTCCAATGCCCAGCAGAGAAATGCCCCCATAGTTAAACACCAGTAGCACTGTCAGCTGGAAGGCTGCCTGAGATGGGGAACAGGAAAGGAGGGGTGGAGAGAGGGGTGCAGGGGGTGAGTGAGGGGAGAGGAAAGAGAGGAGTAAAATTAGAATTGACGGAAGGGATCGAGTTGGGGAAGGAGACGAGCAGTGGAGCCTGGGGAATAGAATAGTCGGATCTGGAGATGTTACTATCCGAGGCACGAGGAAAGCCGGTTTAAGAAAGACGGCAATAGCGAAGAGACGATTCGGGACACATGGAGAAGGAGAAATATGAAGGAAGTGGGAACGGAGGACGTTGGAAGCAGAAAAGGGGTTAAGGGAAAGCAACTAGGGGGAGCGTTTATGTGAGGAAGCAAAGAGTGTACCTGGGTAAAGATGTTGCGCCACATGATGTTGGTAATGAGCGGCGCACTGCAGTGCAGGGCAGGGCAGGGGGACACGTGGTGCAATCGGGTGAGTGTGGGGAAGGGTAGGAAGGAGAAGGACATGCCAACTGCGAAAAGCGAGGAAACAAGGCGAGGCTGGAGAGAGAAACACGAACATTGAGATTCTTTTATCTCAGTGGGGGATGGGGGAAAGGGAGGGCAAGGCGCGAAGCAAGGGCGAGGAGAGGAGCAGAGGCAGCAGGCCACTCACGTTCTGCCTACGGGCGGCTGCTCTAGTAGGTCGGAGGTGGGCGGCTCTGTGGCGAGAGCCAGCGCTCCCAGCGTGTTCATGATGAGATTCACCCACAGCAGCTGTGAGGGGGCAGGAGAACGGGGTGCGGATGAGATGAGGGGTGGCATGGCAGCAGGAGTGAAGAGAGGAGGGCAGCAGGGAGGAGGTGGAAAGAACATGGTTACACCTACGAAAGGGGGGTGTCAGGTGTGTAACACCTGTTGATCGGTCTGTGCAACCTACTACTGTTATGAGCCAAGCAGAATGGTAAAGCTCCACTGCGTGGAACAGGGTTTAGGGTTAGAATAATGCTCCACTGTGTGGAATAAACCCTGGTAAAGCTCCACTGTGTGGAACATGCGACAATGCTTTCCCCTGTGAGGAACCGTCCTGAGCCACAAAGAATGAACTGCGATTGAATAAGCTGGGCATCCCCTTAACATAAGAAGCCACGGTACAACCACCGACCATCTGACCTGTTAACCCAGTCATTCTCTCCCTCCACGCACCTGCACGGTGGTGAGCGGCACGGAGCCGTCAGTGAGAGCGGTGATGAAGTTGAGAGTAAGCGCGCAGATGTTGACAGTGAGCTGGAACTGGATGTACTTCTGAATGCTCGCGAAGACCGAGCGCCCCCACCGCACCACGCGCACGATGGACGCAAAGTTGTCGTCCAGAATGACAATGTCGGAGCTCTCCTTGGCTACTTCTGTGCCGGATAGCCCCATGGAGAGACCGATGTCCGCCTGTGTGGTAGGGGGGAGGGACGGAGGGAGAGAGAGACATGCATGTGTTGTGCTCTTCCAAGTTGTCGTCCAGAATGACAATGTCCGAGCTCTCCTTGGCCACCTCCGTTCCCGACAGCCCCATGGAGAGACCGATGTCCGCCTGTGTAGGCAGGGAGGGAGGGAGGGAGGGAGCGAAGCGAAGAGTGGATAATATATGCATGCGCGCAGGGTCGGGAGGGAGGAAGAAAGTGGAGGGAAGGTCGAGAGGTGGCTTTGACAACAGCTGCTACCCTCCCTCACCGCCATGCATCTCCGCAGTAACACCTGGACTGCAGCTTCTTGGAGGGCTGTCAGTCAGTCACCTGGTCATCAAACTCGCCGCTCAGACCTCAAAACCTCCGTTCCATTTCGTACTCGCCTGTAGAGATTGTCACAGCTATATAGGTGTTACTTTTGATAATTCTCAACAGTAACACCAGTAGAGGCGTTCACAGATGCGCCTCCCTGCGCGGCCTCACCTCATAGAGCGCAGGCGCGTCGTTGGTGCCGTCGCCTGTGACGGCCACCACCTCGCCCATGCGCTGCAGCAGCGACACCAGCAGATGCTTGTCCGTGGGGGACGACCGCGCCATCACCTGGGAGGGGTGGGAGGAGAGTGCAAGAGTAAAGGGGGAGATTTTTAGACGCCCCCACCTCGCCCATCTTCCGCAGCAGTGACACCAGCAGATGCTTGTCCGTGGGGGACGACCGTGCCATCACCTGAGGAGGACAGGAGAGAGGCAGAGCAATGTGAGGAGATGAGGATGAGAGGAGGGAGGCTATCTGGTACAACTGCGGCTGATTGTGTGAATCTGTATGTGTTGCCTTGCCGGGCAACTAATCAACACAGACGGCCTCTGCAGGTACAGACGATGCCAAAGGGAACGCTTTCCGAGACTACCAGATGGCAAAAGGCCAGGGAAAGGCAAAAAGGGAAAAGGGGGAACGGAGGGACTCACATCAATGGTGGGGATGATCTCCATCATGCGATCCAATGGCAGCACGCGAAAGTCCTTCCCTTCAATCACAATCCCATCAGGCGTGAGAATCCCGCACTCGCGTGCAATGGCCTGCGCCGTGAGCACATTATCCCCCGTCACCATGCGCACTTTCACCCCCGCCTTCTGGCACCGAGCCACCGCCTCCGGCACGCCTGGGCGGCAGGGGTCCTTGATTCCGACGATGGCGAGCAGAGAGAGGGAGGTGTCTGGGAACTGCCAGGACTCGGTGTCGTCTGGCACAGATGTGGAGGGCACGGGGGCTGATGCGAGGGCGATGCAGCGCAGGGACGATGCTGCCATGGCGGCTATTGATGCTTGCACTGCCTCGAGCTGTGGAGAGGGAGGAAGAGGGGGCAGGGGGCGAAGGGAGCAGTTGGAGGAGTGGATAAGTGAGGGAGGGAAGGTACATGAGGAGCAGGAGGGGATGGGTGATGAGAGGACGGGAAAAAAGGGTAGCGGACCCTTGTGGACGAGAGAGGAGGGGAGAGAATCCGGCCTACAGACTTCACATCACATTGTTGTGAAGATGAGACCTATCCATCCATCACCATGCACGCCTCACCTTGTCGTGAGTGAAGGCGACAGCATTGCCCTGTGCGTCCATCCAGTGGGTGCAATTAGCTAGCACCATCTCCGCTGCGCCCTTCCAGTGCACCACCACGTCGCCACCAGCGCGCTTCACTGCCACGCCCGCGCGCTTCTTGGTGGAGTTGAATGCTTCTACTGAAATGATGTCTGAGGAGTGGCGCAGCCCGTTGTAGTCCATGCCCAACTGGTGGGGGGAGGGGCGGGGATGGGTGGAGAGGGAGGAATTTTGCAGGTGCCTCAAAAGACGTCTGCACGCTTCTTGGTGGAGTTGGACCCTCTACAGAAATGGTGTCTGATGAGTGGCGCAGCCCGTTGTAGTCCATGCCCAACTGGTGGGGGGAGAGGGAGGAGAGGAGCAGTCCGCAGCAGACGTGATGAGAGTGGGTTGCAGTTAGCTTGGTTTATTCGTTTGGTTTATATGCGATGTAGGATTGACAGAATAGAATTTCAGGAAGGATTGCGAGGACATCCACGGAAAGGGAGTGAGGGGCAATAGCGGAAGGAAAATCGGCTGAAGAGCGAGGGCAGGACTTACAGCGAGCGCCCACTGGATGATGGCGGTCTCTGTAGGGCTTGCAGATACCTCCGCTTCGCCCCCGTTCTGCATGCACAGCACACGTGGGGTGGTTGGTTGCATTGCGGAGAGGTGAGCCCGTGCAACATAGCAAGCACACATGGCACGAGACTAGGCTGACGAAGATGCAAGGGGGCTGGAATAAAGTGCGGAGAGCTTAATGTTGTTGAAAGCCATGCCGTGCCGTGCTGCCGGCACATGCAACGCAATGCGCTACATCACGTTCCGCCACAGCATGCAGCAACGTACCTCAGGGATGAAGACTGTTCCTGTGCTGTTCTGCGCCACACCCTCCAGAATAACCTGCGACAGCAGCCAATCGCACGCGCACACACCAGAACGGCTAATGAGTTTCGCCACCTCAAGACATCGAGGCAAGAAGAACCTACACGAGCAAAGACCGAGGGCTGTTTGCGACACATGTGTCGCAACATGACTGGCGAATGTGAGAGCGGAAAGGGAGGGGAGGTTACAAGGAAAACGAATCGTTAATACTTATATAATTATATTGCAAAGGAAGTGGTGTGAGACCTGAAGGAGAGGCGAGGAGGGGTCGAAGTTGTTGATTGCATCAGGCTTGTGCAGCTCCCCTCCTTGCCACTCCCGCACCACCGTCATCTGCCCTCCACAGAATGGGATGCAATGAGGCATTGAGAAACATTGGAGCAAATTCAGCACATGGTGCACGCCGGAATGCTGAGGTGCTGCAATGACGTGATGGCATGAGAGCCAGGTAGAAGGACAGAAAAGGGCACTCTCCGCCAGGTGAACGCTGCTGATTGTGACGCTCCAAGGTTTGACAGCAGGGAGAGAGTGAGGTGAGCGGGAGCAAGCGAGTGAGAATAGAAGTGAGTGCAAGTGTGAGTGAGAGCGGGAGATAGTAGAGATATTAATCAACAAGGATGATTGGTTGATTGCAAAGCTACAGTAGCAATCATAGTTGTGGTGCGACGCGAACCTGGTGAGAGTGAGAGTGCCGGTCTTGTCACTGCAGATGGCAGTGGCACAACCCATGGTCTCACACGCCGCCATGTTGCGCACGAGAGCCTTATGAGGCACCTCAAGAGCACGCACCTGGTTGAGAGTGAGAGTGCCGGTCTTGTCACTGCAGATGGCAGTGGCCGAACCCATGGTCTCACACGCCGCCATGTTGCGCACCAGCGCCTTATCGTTCATCATCTGCCGCATTGAGTAGGCCAGCCTGCAGGCACGGGAGACAGCGAGAGAGCAGATGAACAGATTGCAGATTGAATGGACTGAGAGAAAACAAGCAGGGGTTTGAGAGGTTTGAGGAACGAGTGGACGATGGGGCAACTGGGAGACCAAAGGCTGGAGAGAGGGAGAGCAGCAACATGGAAAGCAGTCACAATGAGGACAAAGGACGAGGTACTCACGCGAGGGTGACGGCGAGAGGGAGGCCCTCGGGAATGGCGACGACAACAATGGAAACAGCAACGGCAATCTTTGTCCACGAGGTCCTTGATCACATCCACGAAGCCCTTCTGGAGCACTCAAAAACCATTTCACCTGAGATTGACGGCAGGCTCACTCACGTGAGGGTGACGGCGAGGGGCAGCCCCTCGGGAATGGCAACGACGACAATGGAAACAGCAATGGCGATCTCGTCCACGAGGTCCTTGATGACATCCACGAAGCTCTGCCCGCTGTAGTAGTCGGTGAAGTAGCGCACCACCAGGAAGATGAGCACACACACCGCCACCGTCACCCCCACCTTCCCGATTGCCTTCGCCAGGCTGGAGAGGCGCGCCTGGGAGAGGTGAGAAGTGCGGGTGTGGGAGGGGGTGGGAAGGGTGCGCGAGCGGGTGAGGTACGGAGTGCGGATTGGGATGAGAGGAGACAGCTGCATGGATGGGGATAGCGGAGGTTGAGATGGATAGAGGAGAGGGGAAGCAGCGGCAGCAGCAGGAACGGACCTGCAGTGGTGTGACGGACTCGTCATCCTTGTTGACTGTGGCCATGATGCGCCCCCACTCCGTGTTGATGCCCACTGCTGTCACCTGCGACAGAGACACACACACACACGTGCACTCACGCCCACCCACACGCACACACGCGCGCACACATGACCGACGCGCAGGAGTGAGGAGAGAGAATCAGTTTCAGTACCGCGCGGGGCATGTCACAGGAGTGCAGCAGGGCGACAGATATAGAAGATGGAGCAGCGGAGAGAGGAGACAAAGGGAGAAGGTGCAGGGAGCGGAGAGGCACTGCTGTGTGATGCTCGCCGCAATCATAGCGGCACATGAGATGAGAGTGCGGCAGTGCAGAGCAGAGCGGCATGAGGCGGCGGAACTCACGAGCATGGTGCCATAGCCGTCCACCACCTTGCACCCCGACATGAGAAATGGCCGGTACGCATCCTTGTGCATCTGGTGCGCGCATTCGGGTCACACCACCACACCACACCACACCACACCACACCACACCACACCACACATGGAGGGAGGAGGACAAGGGCGATGCTCCGTCAGCCAGCCGAGACCAAGCAGAACAATACAAACTCAGGAACATAACCCATTGAAGATAAGTGGAAGAATACGGATTTCCATAAAAAAAAAACGATTCCCTATTCCCCCCTCCCTTGTCTCCCACGCTACAGCAAATCCAAGTAGCCGGAGAGGCAGGCACAAGGAAGGAAGGGCACTCACGGGGTCGCTCTCGCCGGTCATGTATGACTCGTCGATGGTGAGCGAGTGGCCTGAGATGAAGACCCCATCGCCTGGCACCTGGTCGCCTATGGCGAGCGGCACTATGTCCCCCACCACCAGGTCGAATATTGATGCCGCCTGGCTGCGGCCTCCTCTGATCACCTGCGGTGCGGAGAGAGGGGTTCGAAAGACGAGGGTGAGAGGGGAGTGTAAGGAGGGTTGGAGAAGGGACGTTAGGAGTGTTCAAGAGGGGTGGAACTCATATGATGGACGGAAAGGGAAAGGGACACGTGATCCCAGTGGTCCTGCAATGGCACTGTGCCACTGTGGGTTCAGTGCAGTGCGAAGGGTGACGGGAGAGAGAGACCGTAACAGAACAGGCCGGCAGAGGGGACAGAGCGGGCGACTCACCTTGAGCTGAATATCCTCCTTCTCTGCGTCCAGCCCTTGGAACTGCAGCGCCTGCCGATAGTCCGTGACAGCTGACGCCACGCGAGGAGGGGAGACGGACACGGGGAGAGGAGGAACGGGAAGGGGTGGGGATGGAGGGGGAAAGGGGGAGGGGAACGGAAGCGGTGAGAGGAAAGAACGGCGACGCTGGAAGATGGCGACTGGAGTGGAAGCGAGGAACGGACGGGAAGCGAAAGAAGACAGGGGTAGATGAGCGCGAGGTGAGGTGGCGAATGAGTGACTAGTAGAGAGCGGGCAAGATGCACTCACACGCAATTGCCCACCCGCACCCCCCGCCCATCGGCATGGCATAACATGATGACATGGCATGGCATGACATGACATGGCATGGGAGCAGTGCTCACCAGTGACGGTGACGACGATGAGAACGGCGATGCAGATAGCCACGCCCTCGTGCCACCCCTCGTGCGCTCCCTGCGCCGTCACAGAGCAGCCACGCAGGACGAGGCGCAGGGGAAGAGGCGGTACAACAGGAAAGCGAGGTAAACAGGTAGCCTCTGGTGGAGGCAGAATTTCCGGCAAGGCTTCAACTGAAGCGATTTTCTTGTTACAGCAACGGAGCTTTCTACTGGGGAGACGAATTGAAGGAGGGGAGGACAAGGCGACGACGAGAAGAAGGGGAGGAGGGGTGAGGAGCAGGAGAGGGAGAGAAGGGGAGGAGCAGGAAAGGAAGAGAAGGGGAGGAGCAGGAAAGGGAGAGAAGGGGAGGAGCAGGAAAGGGAGAGAAGGAGCGGGAGAGGAGGGGATGAAAGGGAGAGGAGGCGAGGGAGGGCAGAGGAGGGGAGGAAGAGTGGGAATACCTCGGCGATCATGCCGAAGAAGAGGGAGAGCGCAGCGCAGACCATGAGGATGATAAGGATAGGGTCCTGCGACGCCTGCCACACGAACCACTGCACTCACGCACGGGGACACACGCACGCAGAGGCGAGACGAGAACAGTCGGTAAGGCGAGCAGGAAGGGAGTGCAGAGCGCTAGGCGTGAATGCAGAGGCACGCGTGGAAAGAGCACTCAATAGACAGGCGAGGAACTCACGGTAAAGGAGAAGGGAAAAGGCTAGTGCATGCACTTACGAAGAAGGGAGGGAGGGGCTTCTTGGGGTAGGTGTTGGCTCCATACGCCTCGACCCGGCGCTGGAGGTCTTCTGCATCGTCACCGTTGATCCCCAGTTCGAGATCCACGGCCAGACCCGCGCTTAGACCCCTCACCTGTATGGAGTAAGGCGGGGGAGGATAGGAACGGGGAAAAGGTACGGTTGATACCTTTTGACAACTTCTATAAGGAATCGTGTGGGCGTCGAGTTAGATTCGCTAGACAGAAAGAGGAAAACTATATGTAAACTGGTTGTATTGGCTATATATAAGTGAACTAGACTTCGGGGACGGTGAGACCCGGAGACGGTGAGTGAGATTCGGGAACGCGTGACTGACCCCTCCCATGCGCTGCAGGTCGTCGAGGTTAGCGTTGGAGCTGAGATTCACCAGCTGCTCCACGCTGTACGCGAACCCGTGCTGCGCTGCCACGCTGTCGCCTGCTGCCGGGGAGAGAGGAGGAAATGGGAGCGAGAAAGGGGAAGAGGTACAGCGGGAGTGGAGAAGCTTAGCGAGGGAAGAGAGACACGAGGGAAAGGATGGAAAAGAGTAGGGTCATAACAGCGGTGGCGGTGCCGCCACCAGCGGTGGAAAAGAGGCGGTGACGACTCCAGCATCGGATGCACACCTGCGTGTGCGTCGGTGGAATCAGGGACTCCCATTTCCTGCTGGTGCTGCTCTTCCAGCAGACCCTTATCCGTCTGCTGCTCCTGCTCCTTTGGCTGATGCCCTTCCACATCGCGCCCGTCCACCTGTAACACACAATACGAATCGATCAGATAAGATACAAGAGAGGAGTAAGGGAAACATTGTATCACAAGCTCCTAGTCGCAATCGCTTCGGGGTAAACTTGCGACACAACTTAAGGGAAACGAAAAGAACCTAGAAGCAAGCCTGGCGACTCGAGGTTCAGAACAAGCTGAGAGAACGCAAACACAGCCACATCTTCCGAAAAGGCAGCCGGAAAGAAACTAACAATCCGAAAAGCTGTCGTGCTGCGACGCTTCCAGTCGTACCTCCTCAATGCCGCCATGGCGTTCGCCCATCGTCGTCGCGGCTCTTCTCGTCCCTCGGGCTTTGAGACTCGCAGCAACGAAAGGCCTTGAACTCGGGCTGTGACCCACGAGAGGCCTTGGACTGTTGTGCTGGAATAGGATTGGACTTGCAAGATCCTTCGCAGGTTAATCTTTAACTGCGAGGCCAGAAGAACTCAGGGGTGGAACGATGTACCTCAATCGCCTAAAACGTTCTCCGCGTGCTCCCAACGCTGGTAAACGCCACGCCCGTTTTGCCTTGTTCTGCTGAAAGCTCGTGGTGAAATTACCAGTTGTTTCTAGGGTTCCTTGTCGAACTGTCCTGCTCGTACATGCGAATGACTTGCATCCATTTCTAACAGCCTGGGCTTTACGAGCGGCGAGCATCATTGTGGGGAGAATTCGGCGGTTCGGCCTGAAACGCCACCCGAAGGAGTCACGCTGTTTTTGGTCGCAAAACATGGCGAAATTCTGTTCAGGGAACTCCAACAGGCGAGTTAGACTTGGCTGAGCGAGAATTAGTGGTGTGGCGTGCATGGACAGCCAACCCAGCGCGCTGCGCCGTACCAAACGTTGTTCACCTGGAAAGCAGACTGCGCGTCACTTGCCTACTCCATCTGCGGCTGCTGCTGCTCTGGCGAACGCAGCGCGAGGAGGAAGCAGGCATATCACACATGGAGCACACAGGCTCGACTGCTCGGCGCGCTTCAGCGACTCCCTCACGTTGCGAAGGCTCTTAATGTATGAGGGGGGGTTTCGTGGGGAAGGGGGGACTCTTCATGGATTTGGCGGGGTTTTTCAAGGAAGGGGGAACGGAGGGAGGCAATACGCAAAGCCCTGCCTCTTGTTCGCTTGTGTACATCCACCTTCCATCATGCCAAACGAATCTACTTGCCGAAGCTCACCCGAACGACATCAAGTTTGGCCTGGAGAGCCCCGTCGGACCAAACTGATTGGTAACCCGCGCTGGTGACTGCCCGAGCCAAGCTCGCCAAACCACATAGATTTGCAGCTTTGGAGGATCCGAACCAGATTAGGTGTGCAGTGTGCAGCTGGTGTGTGGTTGGATGGACTCGGTTGGGGATGTTGCTTGTTTTGTAGTGGTGCAGTGTGTTACAGTACTGTATAATCTGAGCGAACGGGCGGATTGGCTGGTAGGTTTGGGATGCCATGTGTAAGGATGCATATGGTCGATTAAACGGCACATGCGCCTTCCCAGATGTCGCCTTTGGGAACCGTCCAAAGGAAGACTGTGTCAATCGATCTTTTCAAAAGATCTGGACTTTTTTAGCGGTTGAAAATAATCCATTCGTTGTGTATTGCTATCCATCTGGTTTAGTACGTTGCAAAGCGGTGACGGTCCATGATGTTCCACACCCTTAGGGCGTGTCCAGCTCTTCCATTTAAGGTTCATAAACACTTTTGGTTACCAAATATTGGTTGTAACACTGCAATTTACAAAAAGGTTAGAAACGATCAGCTTTCTTTCACGAGACTGCATGCCCCCTGCACGTACCTCGAGTCGTCTGACTCGCGTTACTAGAATCAGCGTGCGCGCGAACAAGGGTACAGCATTGCGTCCTGTCTGTTGGAATAACCATGGGTCATTATAACATTCCCGAAGGTTCTCTTTAACGCATCGCTTCATAACAAAGCAGCGCACTTGTACTAGTACCGCGTTAGCTCATATAGATCACGATAATGTCAATAGTCGCGCGAAAGGCAATGGTCGTGACTATTGACCACCCCGCAACTCTAATCGGAGGTTACATGATGCAACATGGTAACTGACGAGTATCGCAATAGTCGCGGTTACTATAGCAATGCAAAACTGTTAATATGGGAATGTACCCCTCAGGGTATATTGCTAGCTATGAATGCTATTTATTTCCCTAGTAATGTTGTGTTATTATCGTATTTTCTTTCAACTTATGGTAGCAAGGTCATTCAAAGACTTCAATGCCTTCTTCATACACTTGGCTAGCTTTATCCTATCCACTACGATTCCTTGGTTATATCAACATGGTATGAGAGCGCGGTTGGATTATAAGGCCTGCCAAGTTCTTGTTCTTCCTAGAACAACTCTTTATTCAATTACGCATTACAACACCTATTATAGAGTCTGCATCACTATGGCTCCTGAAGGGAAAGCTAATGCAGCCTCCCCCAAGCCCACCACCAGCAACAACAAATGCATCGTCAGCAGTGACGTCCGTCAACGCCAACGTCGTTGAGCAGCTCATCGTACGTATCAACGTCCTTGAGAGCCATCAAGCAATGAGCATCGACGGCTCAAGCTACACCAGAGGAGTTGCAGGAATTCCTCTCCCATGAGAAGACCAGCGTGTCAACTCCGAGAGGTCCTTCACCTTAGACAATCGTCAAGGCTCAGCTCCTGCACAAGATAGTCAGCAACGTGCACAAACAGAAGCATTAGCAACTCTGCAAACCAAGATTATCACAACATCAAAGCTGAAAACATCAACTGCATTCGACGGCAAATACTTCTACACATGGAGTCTTGAATGTGAACTCATCGCAACAACTGCGCAGATCTGGATGTACTACGACGGGAGCCTTACCTTTCCGACAGAAGGCACTCCTCATGAGAAGAATCTTTATTATCACGAGTCTCTCCTCGCGTACACCGTCCTCCTCCGTAATCTCTCCCCCACCGAGCAGCTTGGCATCCGCTCTTTCAAGACGGAGTGGGCTTCCGTGCAAGTGTCTTGGGAATACCTGTACAACATGTGCATGGCGACGGATCCGGTGACAATGAGTCGCTTGTTAAGCCAGATGAAATCTGCCAAAATGGTTGAAGGGGAGAAAGCGGGATCATATATAAAATCGCTACCGAAATCTGCGCGACCAGTTTAAGAAGTGTGGCGGAACCGTCCCCGACGACATGTCCGTCACTATAGTCCTTTCCCGACTAGGACCAGAGTGGCGACAGTACAAGTCACTGCTCCGCGCTCGAGGAGCCGTCCCCCCTCGCCACACTCCTCTCCGAGCAGCAGGAGATCGATCTGTACAACAAGAGAAACGACAAGAGGGAAAAACTGGTGTTCTACACTAGCGCAACTGAAGGGGAGTCATACACGAAAAGGGATCATTTCTGCAAATACTGCAAGAAACCGGGCCACATGATGGATCGTTGCTACAAGCGTAAGGCTGCCAACGAAAAGCGCAACAAAAACTCACCCGGTCACCAGCATCGACCATCTGTGCCTCCTTCAACGCCAGCAGCAACGGCGACCATGTCGCCACCTGCCGTCGCAAGTACCTCGCAAGCTCCTGCACGCATGTCATCTAATGACAAAGGAAAAGGGACGAGCTGCATGGCGCGTCACAGAGGTACTCGTTATTACGACAGAGTTCACTTCCCCACAGTTGCACCGATTGAACCCATCGCACCGAGCCCGAACAACGATCCTACAATCGGAATCTGGAGCAACAGTCCAACGACTCTCCCACCTGGTTACGAGTTGCCTCCGAGCACGCCCGAGTCCCCTCCTGGGTTTCCCTCGACTCACGAGAACATTCTCTCGGGCTTCTACATTGACCTTGGCCGCATTGTTACTCCCAAGACCGCCAGCATCGCGCACCGAAGCCGCGACAACTTCAATAAGTGGCACCTTGACAGCTGCTGCGGGCAACACATGGTGGGGTCAACAACATTCATTAGCAACTCGAAGCGAATGCGACGCCCATGCGAAATAACTGTCGCAAACAACAATCGGCTGAAAGCGTACGACATTGGAGAAATATACCTACAGTCGAACGACACCAACTCCACCATCCACATCGGAGATGTACTCGTCGTCATCGATCTTCAGTTCAACCTTCTTTCTGCAGCGCAACTCATGAAATGCGGCGTCGAGATCATTACCAACTGCGAAGAGAAGTGCGTCGAACTACTTTACAATATTACTTACATCGGCAAGGCGGTTGATGAAGACGGTGTCTTTGTCGTCAACTCCGAGTCACTGGGAACGAAGGCGACTCCGACAGAAATCTTCTGCTTAAAATCACAACCGCGGAGCCGCCAACTTGGTCGCATCTTGAAGAGACCGATCTCGAACGTCTCGGCCCAGATGGTCTCTGTCGCACCCTCGCCGTCCCAACCGCCTCAGTCTCCGCTCCTGGCGATACCGAACTTGCATCCATGGAGGAAGAAGAAGCAGACAGTGGAGCGCCAGGAGAGGAAACAACGGCAACACAAATCAACACTGGAGGTTGGGAACCACAGGAACTCCACCCCCCACTGGATGTGGCACTAATATCACGATAGGAGCATGGGGACAAGTCGAAGCCCCGCCAGAAACTGCAGGCGGTTTGGGCCCGCCGACGCTTCCGCCAAGAGTTCCGGCTGAGGGCGGATGGGGAACATCCACTTCTCAAGGCGGCTGGGGACAACCTTGTCGCTATCTCGAAGCTCCAAGACTTCCTCCCGAAGCTGTCACGGAAGTAGACCCATACTGGGGGACACGTGGCACCAGCTGGGGCGGACCTCCTCTCCCGGACCAGTATCCCTACGAACCGACACAAGAAGAAGGGCATGATTTACGATTTCGGGGAAGCAGCAGAACTACCTGAACCTACCGAGGAGCCGCCGCCGATAGAAGAAGGACCACAGTTGATCTCAGTTACCGGCGAGGAATATCTCTACCACCAGGTTTCGATGGAGGGACTCCCCGCCTCTGAGTGGCCAGAAACGACATCGCCCCACCAACTTCTTCCGGTCACCGACGCCTCGATTCACGTCGCTGATACGTATGACGTCGTCGGCATCCCCAAGACCGATCACGAACAAGCATCCACCCAAGCCTTTGCAGCGGATGTATGAGCTGCTGCCGACACGAGACCTGTGACACCACAACAAGAGGAAGAGCAGAGAAATGGATATTATAAGAAACGGTCGGCTACCGTGCTACTCCCGACATCTGGCACCAACGACTTCGGCATCCTTCACACGCTACACCCAAGAACTCGATTGAAGCCAACGTTTTCGA